ATATAAATCTCCCCACTGTATTTTCCACTGAATGCATCTGATGAAGTGAGCTATAGCTCACAAAAGCTTATGCTCAAATAAATTTGTTAGTCTCTAAGGTGCCACAAGTATTCCTTTTCTTTTGCAAATACAGACTAATACGGCTGCTACTCTGAAACCTGGAAATACTCTGGACCTTGGATTTATTGTATATTTAACCCCTTCTCCCATCCGTGATAGTCAGGGTACTACAGAAGTTTGCCAGATCTAGGGGAGCTTTTTGTAGCTCCAGTATGCTGGAGGGGGGGATAGCTCAGTGCTTTGAGCATTGGCCTGCTAACCCCAGGGTTGTGAGTTTAATCCTTGAGGGGGGCCATTTTGGGATCTGGGGCAAAAATTGGAGATTGGTCCTGCTTTGAGCAGGGGAATGGACTAGATGACCTCCTGAGATCCCTTCCAACCCTGATATTCTATGATCTAAGAAGGCAGTGGTACCTGGAAATGGTGATGTCTGTGTCCCCACCCTCTCTCCAGCTCTTGTTAATTCTGTACCCAGGGATATTGTCCAGTAGTTCATGATGGCCCAGCACAGTTTGCAATCTCAATTGAGGCCACAGTGCCAGTCATCCTGGATATCTTGCAAGCTTGTGTAACTTTGAGCTTGAGCGTCAGGTACATTCGAGTTCAGGCCATGATAGTCACAGTGTTCAGAGGCTCAGTTGGTGTAGTCTCAGTTGGCTATCACCCCAAAGTTTCCAGGTTTCTGAGGGCAGTGGATAAACTGAGAGTGGTAGTTCATTATCCGAAGCCTGCATGGGGCTTGAATCTGGTGTTAAGTGTTTCCATGGCTCTCCCTTTGGATCATCTGAGAAGCATTTCTCTGTGACTACTATCCTTAAATCCTGTTAGTAATAACATTATGTTCAGCAAGAAGATAAGGGAGCATAATCCCTTTCCTGCAAACAGCTGTATATAATTTTTCTTGGACAAAGTCATGCTAAAGACTTGGCCAGAACTCAGGCCCAAGACATTGTCTGTCTTTCACCTAAACAGAGAATTTGCCCTACCTACGTTTGGTCCCAATCCTGAGATGGCTACATTACTCGAGCCCTGCAGATTTGTGTGGATGGGACAACAGAGTTCAGGCAGACTCAGAGCTTTTCATCATGAACCAGGGTTTAAAAGTCAATTGCTATTCAGATCTGCTATCTCTGGATGCATCAGAGAGACTATACAGCAGGAAAGAAAGTACACCTGTAAAGTTCATCCTATCTGACGAAGGATTTTCAAGGTTACTTCCCACATCTTTGTCAAACTTATGGAATAAGCTTGCAGATGTGCCCTTTGTCAAAAGGTGTTGCAGGCAGTTGTCTAATGATGATCACACCTGTAATAAAATGATTAACTTCACTGTGGAGGTCTGAAGCATCTTCACTGCCGTAGAAAAGAGAAGGGGAAGGCTTCCTTATCTGTTTTCTTTTTTGAGCTCTTCTATACCAGTTCCTATAAAATGCTGGTGCCTGTCTCATGCCTGAGAATGTCAATGCAGAGTCCCTGATATGGTCCAATTGCTACAGTTAGTACAGTTATTTAATGGTTTTTGAATAGCATCAGTCTAAATTTTTCTTTAATACTGCTTTCGAAGTATTCAACTGAAGGCTGAGCGATGACAGACCTTGATAGCTGAGTGTATGGCATCCTCAAAAGTCTCAGTGTTATCCTTTAAATGACGGTGCACATATACATTGCATTATAAGTGTATGCTCCCAATGCAGTCAAGTTGGAGATTTTTGCCAGCAGTATCACTACACGACACATCTGCCCCTGCTCTCCTTGTGCTCTCAGGCAAGGACATAAAAGGGGCTTCCCGCTGCCCTCCTGTCAGGTCCTTCTCGCTGCCTGTGGCAAGAGTTGGAGCTCCCTAAAGCCTTAGCTTTGGTCAGCAAGCTTTAGAAACTTTGTCCATAGTTGTTATAGTTATACTGTAAGTGTATTTTAGTGTGTAGCATATATTAAAGTACTGAATAGTGTAGTATAGTTATGTAGATATAGTTCTATTAGTACCTGGAGGATTTACTATGACAAAATCTCCAGGTTTTAGATAGTGTGCCACTTGCAGGGCCATTATCCCTTTCACAGATGGGCACAAAAGTTGTCTGATTTGTTTGAATGAGGGGCATGTGGGGGTCAAATGCTTTATTTGTACCTCCTTTCCCACCTGAACTAAGAAGCAGAGAGAGACTGTTGCTTGCAGGTTCACCTCACGAAAGAAGGCAATGTGACCTGTGTCTGAGCCATCTCCCAGTTGTGATCCTGGGGCCTCTGGATTGACTCAGAGTGCTCCAGCTTCTTCTGAGTCCAAAGATAAGTCTGGAAGCAAACATTATGCTTCCCCATTTCTGTCTGGGTCAAAGAGTTCTAAATGTTCATTATCTCGCAAGACCTCTAAATCTAGGTCTTCTCCCAGAAATGCATCTAGTAAGTCCTCCAGCACCCCCCCGGAAAAGGGGAGTACAGAGTGTGGCACAGCCAGAGGGCTGTGTTCTGAAGAGAATGCCGTGATCCTTGGAGCGACACGGGTCCAGGAGCAGAAATGATGGTGGGTGAGAGATCACCAACAGTCAGCGTACCGACCTGTGGAATTGATCCGCAAGACAACCAGCAGGAGGCGTTAGCGTGGTGAGTCCCACCCCATCACAGGGTCTAAGTTATTTTCTGAAAAAACAGATACCATGCACATGGTTCAGTGGTAACAGCCGACACATTAGTTGTTTGGACATTCCAATTTTCCCTTTCCTGGACAATTGGCCAGTGCAGGCAGCAGCATTAGATGAGTGTTATCATCATCATCGCTTGTCTAGGCTTGTCTCAGAGAATCTTTCACAGGATTTCTGACTATATCAGACTCTGCTACCAGCTTACTAAAGTCTCTCCTCCGTCGAGAATAACAGCTCACTCCACCAGAGCTCAGCTTTCCTGGGCAATGTTCCAATAGCTGATATATGCCAGGCAGCAACATGGTTGTCTGTTCCTCTTCTACTCATTATGCCATTGCACAAGCTCTCTCTATGATGCCAGCTTTGGCAAGTCAGTGCTACAGTCTCCATTTTGGTGATCCAGAGTCCCTCCACCTGAAAAGGAACTGCTGATGAGTCACCTACATTGGAATGTATGGGAGCACAGTCAATCGAAGGAAGAAAGAAACAGTTACTTACCTTGTAACATCTGTTCTTCAAGACCTGTTGTGCACATACACATTCCACGACCCTCCCACCTTTCCTGGTGGTTCGGTCATTGCTCACAGTGGTGTTACGGAGCGGAGAGGGAGATGGTGGAAATGCCTCTCGTATGCCTTCACCTGGGAGCAAGAGGAGAACACCCATACTGCTGGCAAAAGTCTCTGACTTGAGTGCACTGGGCACACATATGCCTACAGTGAATGTGTAGGTACACAACACATCTCTAAGAACAACAGTTACTGTAAGGTAAGTGACCATTTTTTCTGTCTCTGTCTGTTGATTGGAGAAACTATAACCCCCAAGTGTCTGGACTGATACAGAAGATCTCAAAAAAAGAACATTAACAGGTAAAGAAAATTTCCCCTTGCATTACCACTGCCCCTCTATCTCACCTTCTCCCATACACCCTCAGCTTATCGTAGCTTTGGCAAACATAAGTGTGGTTGAAATATTGCACTGTTGGTTTCAGACACAAGGTGTCATAGAAAAATTGAGCAAAATTGGTTCGGCCTTGTATGTTGTCTGGTTTGGGTATATGTGTTACACATACATACAAACACTTCTCACACTGTGTGTTCCAATCAAAAATGTTGTGTGAACCAGCTCAATAGCTGAACTGACTTTATTCAAGCTTGATTTGTTCTGTATATTGCTCTGAGATCTATAGAACAAACAAAGTCTGAAAAAATGGGTTCATTGGTACTTAAGTTAAAAATTGAAAAGTTTTTTCATACGTGTGTAGAATTTGTGGCAGGGAAGAGTCAGTTCAGCCTAAGGCTTATAATGTTTGAGATGAATATGCACAATAGACTTTGCCAGTAGAATTTGTGCTGCGGAGGTTGGCCAGACAGAAGTCTCAGTCCCAGTACTGTGGGGGTTTCCCTATGCTTCAGAATAGACTAGAACATTGCGTGGTTATAGTTGGTAAATGTTTACTCTTTAATGGTGACTACTGTAGATCTAAGGCAGGTTTGGATGTTAGGGCCACTGTGAATTCTTTTAGCTTGATCTAAACTTGCAAGAGTTTTTAAAGCCTACCAGACCTTACAAAGATTTCACCATTTCCCAGACTACCTTGTGTCTGAAGAGGGAGACAGAGGGGTAATGGTGCCTCCCCATTCAAAGCAAGCGACCTAGACAAAGGAGCACATGGCTAAGATAAGAGTTCTTACCTCTGCCACTAAGTGGCCTTAACTTTTCATTTTTATGTAGCACTTTAAAAGTATTGTTTAGCTAGATCTCGCAACATTCTGTAAGAAAATAGCATCTTATTAGATGGGCTAATAGATGGGTTAACAAAAGTAGAAAGGTTGTGATTTCTTCAAGATCATACAGTAAATTGGGATAAGAGCCAGGATTAGAGCGTAGCTCTCCTGACTCCCCATTCCACTAGATGCCATTGTTTAATCCACTATACCACAGACCTCCCTAAACAAGCCACTAACATGTCTTTCTGATTCCCCATCTGCAAAATGGGAATAATACCTGCTTGCCTCATCTCTTGACCCAACTAGACGGGGATTCTGTTTACCAGTATTCTAACTTGTGGATTTGGAGAGGTGAACTCAAAATATACTGCCTTAAAATAGGGGGAAAGTTGTCAAATCGAAGCCATGAACAATTAGGAAGTGCCCATGTTCAAGTTTATGAAACGTCCCACTATCAGAAAAGAATACTTTTTACTTTAATTAAGGGGGAAGAAATGAGTTGAAAACATAAACAAGTTTCTAACTGCGATCAAGTTCTGTAGTAAACGTTTTGTTTCCTCTTTGATCTCAACAGCAGCTTTGCAGTCCTCAGAATGTGAATTGCAGAGATTTGGAGGGACGTCATTCAACCCCGCTGCACTTTGCTGCAGGTTATAACCGTGTATCTGTAGTAGAGTATCTGCTGCACCATGGGGCAGATGTGCACGCCAAAGACAAAGGGTAACTTTTCACTATTATTTCTTATTAACCAGTGCTCCTCACATTCATTGTGGGAGAGAGTTAATAGTCTTCTCAGCAATGTTTAGCTTTCTGATAGTACTGGTATCAAAATATTAAACAATAGTATTATAGTTGGGATAACTTCACTTCTTTAATCTCTGCAGTTTTTTTCTCCTCTGTTCTCTGTTTTGTTTTTGTTTTTTCTGCTTAATAGCAGTTTATCAAATATTTTGGAAGGTCTAAAATTAGCTTTTTACTTGTATGATGTGAAATAGCCAGGGTGAACGCTGTACATTTTTCTCTTCTTCATAGATGGTTTATATTAATACAGAAAGTTAACTATTGTTCTCTCTAACTATTACAACATGTTTTCCCCCTTTTAAATCAAACTATCAGGAAAGGCTAGAAATACTATACAACCTCTTTATTATTTCTAGACTTTCCAGGCACTTTGATTTAAAAGGGGGAAAACATGTCACAGTAGTTAGAGAAACCAATAGTCAACTTTTAAAAAGTTGTTTTTCTGTATTAATATAAACCATCTATGAAGAAGAGAAAAATGAACAGAGTTTCAAGGTTAGGTTCAGATCCTAAATGTCTTGAAGTTTTAAGCTCCTTTCAAATGGAATTGAGTACAGTTTTTTCCCCTCAATATTACACATGCATGGCTTACTAATGCCCAAACTTCACGTGGCAAATGGGATTTTAGCCACCCACTTTTGGAAATTTACACCCAAGTGTCCAAAGTCGACATTACAGCAGTGATTCTTGCAACATATGGCTATTGTTAGCAATATTGATATGGCCTGTTTATAGAAATTATTAATAATGACAATTGGTCGAACATCATCAGTTAGAAATATCATTGGCAGGAGCTGAAGAAAAGCTGTTTTCATTCGCTGCCTGGAAAAGGGATGTTCATTTCATATGTACCTCAATAGAAGGGCATGTAAAGCTGTGAAACTGGGGCTACTAAAAGATGCTAATAGTCTTTTTTTCTCTCTGAGGCTGTTTTATCCACGGGAGCTTTGTAAACTTGTATTTGAATTCGACTTTCTGTGACAATTAAAACTTTCTTTCTCTTTGATTAGCGGCTTAGTACCCTTGCATAATGCCTGTTCATATGGACACTATGAGGTGGCCGAGCTGTTGGTGAGGCATGGGGCCTCTGTCAATGTGGCAGACCTGTGGAAATTTACCCCGTTGCATGAAGCAGCAGCAAAAGGAAAATATGAAATCTGCAAGCTGCTTTTAAAAGTAAGTCATTTCCCATTACCAAATGTATTTTTAAAGGTGTGTTCTGTTACATTTAAGATCTGAAACAAAGATCATTTTATTATTTTTCAGTGAATTAATTTGAATCCATTTTCATCTTAAATTTTACTGTGATATCTGGCGCTTTCTATATTGAATGTGAAGTCATTTGAAGTGCCTTTCAGAACATGTTCACTTTTATTAAAATTCATCAGTACAGATGATTTTTCAAGACAATGTTTTAATTTATTCTAAAATATTCCTCTAATACATTCAATTATTTTACTTCATACAAACTGAAACAAATGGAATTAGTTTAAGGATACAAAAAAATGAACTTTTACTTGTGGAATAGTTGCTACAATTGAATAAACTTTCATTGGTATTTGTGCAAGTGTACAGAATACAGCAATAATTAAATGTGGTCTTTAGAAAATATCTTATGTATGAGAAAATCCTCAGAGGAAATGTAAATTAAGACAGTTTGGAAGAAGCACGATAATCAGCAGGAGTGCTCAAGCTAACAGCCCCTGCTTTAAACAAAAACCCTTAATGAGAATGTTTAAAATAAGCTTGACAAAATTGCAAGAAATTATTAGGAAAATTAACCCCACACATTGTTTTCATCATAGGCGTTTATATACTTTTTTTAAAAGGTAGGCAGTTGTCAGGCTCTCTCCACCCCTTTTTACATGGTTGCTGCTTAGCCAAGCTATTCCTACTCAATCTTGGTAATTTTTCTGAGGACTTTTTCACTTTGATGGAGGACCACCACAGCAATTTAAAATCCTGCTGCAGTAGAACCCACAAGCTCTCCCTCACAGAGGTCCCAGGGCTGTGCTTGATGAGGGCCCCTAAAGCGACATCTGATTACAGAAGTTATCTCAAACTCTCAAATGCAGTTTTCTTTTATCAGCACTGGAGTGCTCTGCAGCCCAGGCTCGTTCCAGTGGGGAGTTAGCCGTTCTTGCACTCAACCTCAAAGGATCCTCAACAAAAGTCAGTTCCTTAATAGACACATTACAGAAAACTTAGAAGCACTCCCTAAGGTCCCTAGGAGGTTGAGGTTATATAATACCTGTTGTAAATCAGACTTCTGCATCCAAGAGCTAAAAGGCTCCAGTGACACACCCTTAAAATTGGCACTGTTGGTCTTTAAATCTGTTGGTCCTGGGTACATTTGAGACGATTTCCTTGAGCCTTGTACTGGTTGGTATTTGTGCTCCTAGCCCGCTGGTTACGAAGGGTTTCTGCTGCTCTGACCGGCAATAATGCCTTTGTTTTGGTGTGCGCTGGGATGCGGAATGTGCACCCTCCTGAAATCTCCCTTACTTCGTTCCGCTTGAATTTAAAAATATTAAAAATAAAGTTGTTTTTTCAAATGTATTTTTGGGAGGTATGCTGTTGGCCTTATCGCATGTGACCTTCTCTTCCATTACCTTGCTTTGAACTGCATCCTCTCTTTTGCTTCTCTGTGCTTGTAGGTGAAGAGGGCTGTCTTTGTGTTCCTTAATTTTTGTCTGTTTCTCATTAACATTCTCCCTGTCTGTTTCTGTATGGCCCTATCAGCATATATCTGAGCCCATGGATGTGTGTTTTGTTGTCCTCCAGAAGGAGAAAAGTTCCACTTTGAAACCTTTCACATTAGGGATCTAGAGCTGTAATTTTCAGAAGACTGCAATAGACATTTTAAACAATGTGCCACAGAGAACACTTTCTCCGAAAGCTGCTTGGATGCATTAGAGCCAGTCTTTGCCCGCTTCTTCCATTCACATCCTTACTCTATACTGCTGTCTAATAGACACAGCCTTGGAAGCAGGAGAGTGGTAAGCTCCCCCCCTCCCTACCCCCCCCCCCCCCAAATTGCCCACCTTAGCTAACAGCAGGGCTGTTTTGCTAGTGCTAACAACTGTTAGACTGCTCTGAACATTGCTATACAACACAGTGGGTAACATGCTGGCAGTTGCCAGCACCTTGTCTGTTGCAACTCTCCCACTGTTATGACACCACAGGAACTGCACCATTGTTAGCAATGGTGGGAAAGTTAAGGGGAGCTAACCTTTGGTAAAAACGTTCCCTTATGTAGATTCACATTTCTCTCCTGAATCTCGGCTTTGCTACATTATTGCCATTAACAATGGTGCAACTCACTAAGTTGTAGTGATGCAATGCGTCCCTGTGGGCCATCCTCTTCTGAGTGCTCCATTGCACTGCATCAACATTCAGCACTCCTCCATCTCTTCCAGGACCAGCACGCTGGGTACCTATTCCACAGGGCCCAGATGTAGAGGTTTGTGGGAATAGTAATCCCCAGTTAGAGAAACTGTACTAAAAACTTTTAAATGTGGATTGTAGAAATCAGCATTCTGTATTGTATAAAAATATATACTGAAGTTTTGGAACAAGAAAGCCTTTATGTTGCAGTGCAGCAGCTTGTAAAGCACAAAACTCAGGAGCTGCAGTAGGTCAGAACAGAATTATCAGGGTATAGGAGGAAACCTGCACAACCTGCAGAGCGGATTTCCAAAGGGGTTACAGGAGCATTGTCAGATTGTACAGAAGTGCCTTTACAACACCAGTGCTTTTAGATTATGCCAGCACTGTGAAGAATGACCACATGCAGAATGCAGCTGGGATGAGCCTTGCTCCAAGCAGTTGCCTTTACAATGATGCAGTTGCAAAACTCGTGAACCATGGCAAGCTGTGTAATGTATAGGTGCAAGAAGTTACAAGTGCAGTGTACGTTTACAGCACCACAGCCCTCTAGTATAGACAAGGCTCTTCAGACCCGTAAGGTTGCTTTGTAGATTAGCAGTTTGGGTTTAGCTTTCGTAATGTCTGTTCTGTACAGTGGGTATCCACTAAAGTACATGGCTGTTAATTCATGAAAATGGATTGCCAAAATCTCACTAGCTTTGAGAGCATTCCCAGTGCTATTCTGCAGAATGCAGTCCATGAACTGACATACCTAAGTATTGCACTCATGTATTTGTGGCAATAACATGTAGAATTGTTATTTGTAGCATGGAGCGGATCCAACAAAAAAGAACAGAGATGGTAACACTCCTCTAGATCTGGTGAAAGAAGGAGACACAGATATACAGGACTTGCTGCGGGGAGACGCTGCCTTGCTAGATGCTGCCAAAAAGGGTTGTCTGGCAAGAGTGCAGAAGCTGTGTACACCAGACAATATCAATTGCAGAGACACCCAAGGAAGAAATTCAACACCATTACATCTTGCAGGTAAGCAATTTATCAGAGCTTCTAGACTCTCTTATCACAGTTATGTAATGGAATCAACAAAAAACAGAGCATGTTATAAGGAACTGACATAGAAATAGTTTCACAGCAAATTGCCTTGGTTACTAGGCCAGCTGTCTAGACGTATTACAGGAAGACAGTAGCTTGCAAAAGAGGTGCTTTTGAACTCCAAAAATCAAATAGTTTTAGCTTTCCCACCTTCCCAGTTTTTCTGTTAGTTCTACTGATACTCTGTTTTCTTTTCTCTTTTTGTAGCTGGGTATAATAACCTGGAAGTAGCTGAATACCTTCTAGAGCATGGTGCTGACGTTAATGCTCAAGACAAAGGAGGACTAATCCCCTTACATAATGCAGCATCCTATGGGGTAAGTATAAGCATTTATACTTGTGATTTACAGTGCTAAGTTTCTCGTAATTTTGTAATATTTTTAGTATACAAAGTAGGGGGAAGTCTTTCAAGTGGTTGCATCTAAAGCAAGTTATTGCGACAGACTGTCTTATCTGGAACAAAGTTTGGCCTCCGTAGCCATGAGGGAATTATTGGTCCAAGTCACTACGATATCTTACTCCCACGGGTCTCGGTGGCTTTCATAAAAAAGCCCAGAATTTGACCAGGAGGGGGATGCAGTTGGTACTACTGTATACAGGGTCACTTACAGAAATTTTGGAGTACCATTGAAACAGTTGCTATTATGGCAACCAAAACATTTGTAGCAAGTTGGCATAATGTTTGGCACCTCTTGTTTTTAACCAAAGAAATCTCTCCTGCAGTTGTAGAAATAGGCAAAGATTCAGATGGTGATTAAGAGTTTGAGTGGGAAGGAAGAGAGAGCAGTGTCTGTGGATCAAGCACAAGTTCATTGTGGAGCAGCACTATTAGGATGAGTAGTCTGTTAGTGATCTCCCTTCCTTCCCACTCTCACAAAGCAGGATTAACATACAGAGAATCAAGCATCTTTATGTGCAGTATCTGCACAGATGTAAGATGGACCTTTCCCTAAAACACTACATGCCACTTTACCTTGTGAGTGACTGCAGAAGGAAATCTATTACAAGCAATTGCTTGAAGTCTGTTCTTGAAAGAATCCCAAGTATATGAAAGACTACATACATGACACTAAGTTAATGCCAGATTTGTTTGCCTCTTCTAGTTGTGTTTTCCTCTGCTTCCTCCCATTATTGTAAATGCAATTTCAGTAACTAGAACACTGACAAAAATGGCTGCACTGGAGATCAGAGGGGAAATGGCTTGAATGCGATAATTGAGTCCAAAATTGTTTTCACGTTTATACCAAAATGAAAGTTACCAAATTGTATATATTTAGTGGTGCTGTTGTGATGCTGTATTTTATGCCTCAGTTTGTCAGTCGTTATTTCAGATACTGTACCAGATATGTTGCAATATGTGGGTATGATGAGAAGGATTAACAATGGAATGCAAGCCTCTAATCTGATTCTTCCTTTTGCTAAGGATCATTTGAAGTTGTTAACATTATTTGAATATTTAAGTCTTGTGCTGCAGGTGTTTTTTTCAAACTTCAGTAAACTAGCTCTTTTCCATCTTTGCAGAACAATCCATCACAGCTCAGTACTTTTTCTCTGTCTTCGAGGTCAATCCTTTGCTTTTAATGTACACATTTTATATAGTTAAACTACAGATTATTTATCACATTTGTTAGCCTTGCGTTTCATTTACTGTGTTTTGTCACAGCTGTATAGGATAGTTCTTTTAAATTCTTAAGAACTGAGCAGTACTTAACCCTTGCTGTTTATTGCTCCCTCAGACATTTTGTCAGCAAATTTAACAAATTTGGTTTCTCCAATAGCTAAACAGTAAATCTTACATAAAGAAGGCAGCAGGAGAAAAGGATACCAGAGACAGAGCTGGTTTTTTATATGCCTTTGACAGCTCTTGCCTCTGCCATTTACAGATGTCCACAGTCTCTGATTTAGTGTTGTATTAGAAAACTTGGTTTTAGAAGTGGGATAGAAGGGAGAAAAGTGCCAGCCTCCCACAGTTACACAAAGATGTTTCATTTTTAGTCAGTATAAAATATTTATCTAGCCAAAAAGTCTGATAACCATGGAAGGAGAACTGGGAACTCTCTCCATGTTTTTCAGGGAGTGGAAGTGAGTGGCAATATGCTTTGTCAAAAGTCTAATGACCTTGAAGTAAAATGAACAGAAATTGGGGCAGAGAGTCTTAGAGAGCCTTGAACTGACCATGGATTCCAAATGAAAATAAGTGCTGCGATTTCTGTCTTGCTCTTCACGCAGAGGGCTACAAGTTTACCCCTCGCTGACACCCACAACTTCAGCATCAAGTGTTTTAATCTGCTGAAGGGAAATTGGAGGGTATTTGGAAGCGAAAATTGCCAATAATTGTTTCACACTAATAATCACTTTAAGAAATCATAATTCCAGTCTAATTCAGTGTCCTCTCTTCTGCGTGGTTAACGAGAGTTGTGTTCAACATTCTTTCAGCAGCTTTTTTTTCAATTGTTCTCATTGTATATTTGCCATCGGCACCTCTTAATCTCAGTGACATGGCATAGATCAGCTGTGAAGGGCGGAATACTTGGTTGCTCCTGAATTTTTATCTAATATAGTCAACGTTTTGTAACTCCTTCGTTAAAAATTGCTTTTCCTTTAGTTCCCCCATCTTCATGTTGGATATACCCTGTTTGTTTACCACATAATTAGGTGGTGTCTTTTATACCATGTGGCAGAAAAGTATGGGAAATACCAATTGCTCTGCAAGTTCAGAAGGGGAGAAGTGAGGTTAGCCATCTTTTAAACCAATATTTCTTGAGCGATAAAGCCAAGCCTTTTTGCGAGAGGTTGGTAGCTACTTTAAAAAAAAAAAAAAACGTAGGGAAAGATTAAATCTGTCAGTATCATGAATCTTTGGGTTTGGGTCTGTGCTGCCTATTTCAAACAAGTTTTCATACTTCAATCTGCTGGTTTTTTTAGCTGAGTATACTGCTTTTGCCTTTATGTAATGATAAACCAGTTAGTAAAAACACTCATAGGAAGGTGGTACAGGGAGTAATTTTTCCCTATAATTTGTTTCCTTTTCTTCTTTTTTAATTTGGATGATGATTTTAAATGGTTTATAGTTGTAAGGGTGGGGTACAGAAGCAAATTACATGTCTGTTAAAATGCCACATCCGTAACCTATGGAAATGAATGTAGATGAGGGAAACTGTACCAGCATCACTTTGGTTCAAAGTATTTTTTGTAGCTCATTGTACCAAATAATGAAATAAATGCTCAAGGGCCAGGTTTTCAAACGGGTTCGTTTCAAAGGGGTTCAGCTGCAACTAAATCCAACCACCTTTTTAGGAGCCCAAATGGGAGTATTTCTTAAAATGTGGCCAAAAGTCACTAAGCTGCACTAGCTGACACTGTATAAACGACAATAGTTTGAACACAGAAAATAATAATGCTTCTCTTCCCTGGGTTTTCTTATTTTGTATATTTTATTGTAAATCGGTATTCTGTAGATCCTTAACCGTTTGCTTTCTAACTTTGGGTGTAAGTCAATGAACTGCTAAGCAGAACGAAAACAGCAGATGAAACATGTTCCTTTATCCCTGTTCATACATATTTAAAATCTATGTCAGGCCATACAAGCTACAGCAATCTGAAGAAAGATGGTACTTGTTCCGTTTGTCAGTATCTGGAATGTTCTTCCTGCTCCCAGGGACTTCACAGTGGTATCTGAGCTCCAGAAATAATAAAACCAGTTCAGGAGTGGACACACTTACTTTCCTCAGCAAAGTCCCCGTCCTACAAACACTTACACACTGGATATCAGGGATATCACACACTTACAGTAAAGCACATTTGTAAGTATGTGCAGGATCAGGGTCTGAAAATATAAAGAATTCTTTTTAGAATAAGATAATGCAAATCTAAAACTCCACATAATTATCCCTTTCTATAACATCAACCAAAGAAAATCACCTAATCTCATTATTCTGGAGCTGAACTGCTTAATAGCTAATATACAGTACAGCTAAACTACATGATTAAATGCAATCCAAAGCAACTCGCACAACTGATTCCTTTGAGCGAATTGGGAAGTTGGGGTTTCCTTAGCACTTTCATATTTAGAGAAACGTAGTTTATTCAGCTAATAAAATATGGCCTTGTGCTGCCTTATGCGGCTTTGAAATCACAAAGCTGAGTCAGGAAGAGGAAAGAATGTCCATCATTGTTCGTATGGCCATTGCTGATGGGAACGCTTTTCAGTCTTTGACTGGAGGGAAAGTTGTCGTGACCTAGGCAGGTGGGTGTAAATAAAGGGAGGGGAAATGAAGAGGATCTCTGAACATGCATATTATCTCTTCATGTGACTTAACAATATCACATCGTATGGCCTCTACATTGCTATACCCTGTAGCAGCTACTCTGTACTTTAATGATAAAAGTATTGGGTTTTTTTCAGCATGTGGATATAGCAGCGCTCTTGATTAAATACAGCACATGTGTAAATGCAACAGATAAATGGGCATTCACACCGTTGCATGAAGCAGCACAAAAAGGAAGGACACAGCTATGTGCTCTGCTACTGGCTCATGGAGCAGATCCAACCATGAAGAACCAAGAGGGTCAAACACCTTTAGACCTGGCAACAGTAAGTTCATATTGCAAAGCATCAGAAACTGTTCTAAAGAATTTGCTTTATGTATTAAATGACACTCAGTGCCTCCACTGTGCCAGTGGTCCTCAGCCTTCTCCACCCTGGGATTTGGGAAGGGTAGGGTGGTCAGGACTTCTTTAAGTCCATGTACAACCCCTCTGTTGGCGGCAAGCCCATGCACAAATCGTAGGATGAGATTCTAGTATCTTAGTTAAGGTTTAAAGTATCAGTTTAATTCCCAGCACTTTAATTTTACCCAAACTGAACCTTTCCACCTGAAATGTCACGGATGTGAGCTTTAGCCAGCACACACTTTATTTATTTGAATCTTTTCAGGGAAATAGATCAGACTTTGAGGAAGTATGAGTGTTCCAAAAAGGGTATTCTCAGTTCTTAAATAATTTCTTAACCCTTTTTAGGTACAACATAACTCCAAAACAGTGTGGCTAGAATGACCCAGAACCTCCAAACTTGTTGTTAGCTGTAGGTCTTCCTGAATACGTGTCTTTGACTAGTTGGGTTTTGTTAGTGGCAGGATTAGTTAAAAATAGTTTCCACATATCTTATAGGGCACATGGAGTTTATGAATTCCAGGTGACCCCATTATTGATGGTTGCTATGTGGGGAGTGGCACACAGAGAACTGGAAAGTAGAGAAGTTTGGAATAGACAGGGGAGGGAGTAGGAGAGTTTGAGCCACAGGAGGGGGTGAGGAGGCTGAGCTGGGGAAGAAAACAGACTCATGGAGTGGTCTAGACACCATTCCCCAAATAAATCCACTTTACATGTTCCCCCTGCACCTCCACACATGTTGCTGTCCAGTGACTCTGAAAAGGACTTTAGGGATCATTGTGGAAGCCAGCTGAACATCAGTTCCCAGTGCAATCTTATGGCCAAGAGGGCTAATGCAGTGCTTGGATTTATAAACAGGAGAGCATCAAGTCAGAGTAAGGAGGTGCTCTTACTTTGTACACCGCATTAGTGAGACCATTACTGGATATTGTGTCCAGTGTTACTGTCCACATTTATTTTAAAATGTTGAAAAATTGGAGTGAGTTCAGAAAAGAGCTACAAGAAGTATTTGAGATCTGGACAGCCTGACTTACAGTGAGAGACTTAAGAAGCTTAATTAAGTTTTTCCAAGAGAAGGTCAAGAGGTAACTTGACCATGCTCTACAAGTATCCACACGGGGAAGAGATTTCTGACAGGAGAGGTCTCTTCAATTTAACAGCAAGGGCATAATGACATCCAATGGCTGCAAGCTAAAGCTAGACAAATTCAGACGATGAATAAGGTGCAGGCTTTTTGTAAAAGTGAGGTAAATTAACCTTTGGAACAGTTTACCAAAGTAAATGGTAGACTCCTCATCTTTCAGAGTCTTTACAGTCAAGACTGGATGTCTTCCTATGGGCTTATCTAAAGGGACATTTAGTTTGCAGCAAGCTAAAAGTTCCCTAGTGCTCTCTGATCTCTTCCTGTTTCAAACCAGGAACTTTTAGTGCACAGCAGCAGGGTCCACAGACACTTAATGCACAACAATTTAGTGCAGGATAGACTCACACCCTAGCTTGCTGCAAACTTTGGCTGTGGTGGGAGGGATAGCTCAGTGGTTTGAGCATTGGCCTGCTAAACCCAGGGTTGCGAGTTCAATCCTTGAGGGGGCCATTTAGGGATCTGGGGCAAAAATTGGGGATTGGTCCTGCTTTGAGCAGGGGGTGGGACTAGATGACCTCCTGAGGTCCCTTCCAAGCCTGAGATTCTATGATATGTCTACACTTGGAGCTACTGGTGTGATTCCCAGCTTGTGCAGACGCAGTCACAGTAACTCATCTCCAGCTAACGCTCTAAAAATAGTGGTGTAGCCACAGTTGTGCGGCAGCAGGGAGCAATGACAAAGGCTCGCCATCCCAAGTATGTACCTGTGGGGTCTCAGCAGGTTTGTACTGGGGACTGCTGGTGTGTGTTAGCCTGCTGTGCACAGAGTGTCCGTGTGGACCCTGATGACTGTGTACTAAAAATTCTGTATGGTGCTTTGATTTATGCTGCTTTGAAATGGGAGTATATTAAAGCACACTAGTGAACTTTTAGTGCGCGGCCACAGGCTCCATGTGGACAATTGCTGTGAACTAAGGCTATGACTACACTACAGCCTATGTTGTCATAATTTATGGTGCTATGGGGTGTGAATAAACCACCGACAACTGCCAGTGTGGGCAGCGCTATGTTGGCAGGATATACTCTACTGCTGACAGCTACTGCCGCTCAAGGGGGCTGGCATAGTTAAGCTGACGGGAGAGCTCTCTCCCGTCTGTTTAGAGCGGTACATTAGAGAGCTTACAGCAGCACCACTGCAAGCTCTGCAATGTTTAGACAAGCCCTAAAATAGGTTCTCTAGCTCAACCAGCAGTTACAGGATTGAGGAAGGAATTACGTGGTGGAATTGTCTGATCTGCTATGCAGGTCTGATGAGATTATTATACTGGTCTTTTCCGGCCTTCAAATCTATAAAATCACACTGCCATGAGGAAAAAATGTAATTAACTCTCTGACGTATAATAGAAAATAGACCTGGTCTTAAAAAGTTGTGTTAAGTGGGTGCAATTTTTGCCCCTTTTTTTTTTTTTTTTAGGTTTTTTTTTTTCAAAATGAATGACCTATGACAGGATTAAATTTATGTTATGAGATTGTTGGGGATTTTACTTAGATGGGGACTGGGAATAAGGTTATCCACTATATGTATTTTTTTCCTTCCTTAGTAAATGAATAGATGGTGATTTTAATGAAAATAAAGCCCTATGTGAATGTGCTTTCTGTCTTTCAGGCTGATGATATCAGAGCTTTGCTGATAGATGCAATGCCTCCAGAAGCCTTGCCTACCTGTTTTAAACCTCAGGCAACCGTAGTTAGTGCCTCTCTAATCTCACCAGCATCTACTCCCTCCTGTCTCTCTGCTGCCAGCAGCATTGATAACCTTACAGGGCCTCTGGCAGAACTAGCAGTGGGAGGAGCATCAAATGCTGGGGATGGAGCAGCAGGAACAGAAAGGAAAGAAGGAGAAGGTAATTTTTCTGCTGGGTAAGGTTCCTTTGCAAAAATACAATAAGACGGTGCTTAGCATTGCATTCTGCTTTACTTGATCCTGAAGATGTTGAATATAAAAATACTCCCATCTCAAAGAAAATGTGAATTTCTCTATTTCTCCTGTTTTCTTCCTCTGCTCTTTGAGTGACTGTTCCTCGTAGTTATCTTTTCGTTCATGATTAGCTCAGAATCCAAAGGCGCAAGGGTCACTGACTAAATGAACAGATTTCCGCTGTTGCTGCTGGACAAAAATTCTGATGGGTATAATTGTGATTTGGGGAAACATGATGGCTGAGATGAGGGGGTTGTTAAAGTTTTAATCCTTTGATTAATATTTGAAATACATGCTGTCCATCAGCATCTGAAAGATGGTATAGCAAAAATGCACCCATCTTCATCTGTATTCCTGTGTAACTTGCTGTCCTGTTTTACTGAAATCAGATGTTTCTGTTTTTAAGCGGTTGTTTTGAATGTGTATTTAACATTCAGTTTTTACTGAGCTTTTGTACGGTCTGAGGTAGGTTATTTGGCTGAGGACTATAGAGAGCTGTGTTTTGAAACTGAGGGCAAGCTGACATTATGCTAGATGATGGATATCTTCTACATTGATCTGTTTCTTTCATTATAGTCGCTGGTCTTGACATGAATATCAGCCAGTTCCTGAAAAGCCTTGGGCTTGAACACCTGCGGGATATCTTTGAAACAGAACAGGTAATAAGTGAGCCTCATGTATGGTGCACTTGTATGTTCATTTATAGGGAATGCAATAAATACTCAAGCAAATTTTGATTTCATCTGTTATTTCCTAACTTTTTTAAAATGACTGTTTAACATCTGTCAAAAACAAAAATAACAAAGGAAACTACAAATGAGTTATCTAGTACCTTAAAGTGAGGTTTTCCTCAGAAAAAGACTGAATAAATGGCATCACAGTTATTTGAGGCTGGGATCAAGTTTGCTCAGTTTACAAGTAAAATAATTTTTTTTTTCCCAACTGCCAGCTCTGCAAATTCATCCCGGGATCTGAGTCACGATTGATCCTTTGGTCTTGAGCATTATTACCAATAAAGGTTTTGCAGGACAAATTAGACCCTAAGCTACATGTGTCCTTTCCCATTCATAAACCCGTTAAAGGTTTTTTACAAGGAAGAGGGAGAAAAATGGTTCTTCTTAACCTCTGAGGATAGGACAAGAACCAAGTTGCAGTGGGGGAGGTTTAGGTTGGATATTAAGAAAAACTTTTTCACTAGGAGGGTGGTGAAACACTGGAATGCGTTACCTAGGGAGGTGGTAGAATCTCCTTCCTTAGAAGTTTTTAAGGTCAGGCTTGACGAAGCCCTGGCTGGGATGATTTAATTGGGGATTGGTCCTGCTTTGAGCAGGGGGTTGGAGTAGATGACCTCCTGAGGTCCCTTCCAACCCTGATATTCTATGATTCTGTGAGTCAATGGGCTTAAATTGTAGCAAGGACCATTTAGGTTGGACATTAGGAAAAACTTCCTGTCAGGGTGATTAAGCAGTGGAATAAATTGCCTAGGGAGGTTGTGAAATCTCCATCATTGGAGATTTTTAAGATCAGGTTAGATAAACACCTGTCAGGGATGGTCTGGATCAGTGGTTCTCAACCGTTCCGGACTACTGTACCCCTTTCAGGAGGCTGATTTGTCTTGCGTACCCCAAGTTTCACCTCACTTAAAAACTACAAAAGTGTCACAGAACACTCTTACTGAAAAATTACTTACTTTCTCATTGTTACCATATAATTACAAAATAAATCGCCACCCCCAGATTGAGAAACACTGATGAAGTATATAGAGCAGTATAAACAAGTCATTGTCTGTATGAAATTGTCGTTTGTACTGCCATTTCTAGTACTTTCCATGTAGCCTGTTGTAAAACTAGGCAAATATATTGATGAGCTGATGGACCCCCTGGAAGATCTGTGTACTCCCAGGGGTACACACATCTCTGGTGAAGAACCACTGGTCTAGATAATATTTAGTCTTGCCATGAGTTCAGGGGACAGGACTAGATGACCTCTGGAGGTCCCTTCCAGTCCTACAATTCTATGATGCCTGTGCAAGCCTATTGCATTGAACAGAGTTATTAAAGTGAAAGTGATTAGAACTTAGTAAACAATGCCCTTAATGGGCAAGGCAGAAGAGAAACTACTTTACCCAGGCCTTGTCTACGCTAGAGAATTCAAGAAATAGTTTCCTAAGGTTATAATCTTAGCTGTTTTGGGTGTGTAGGGCTAAAGAGTAAATAGTGGGGGAAAAGTATGTTACCAGTTACTCTGGATATGCAAAATGTATTGTAAGAAGTTACCATGTTTGTGGTCAGTTTTTGGAAGAGAATAGCATTTGAATGCTATTGTGAATTCTTTTTCTGAACAGCTTCTTGGACAAACACATAATTTACTAGTGTGAACTAAGATATAATGTGGGGCGGGGGAGAAATAAGACATATTAAACTGTAGCCATAAGTCAGGGCACAAACACTTTAAACATAATGTGTTGGTTATGAAAATTCTCCAGACTATTGTATGAAGTGTTAAGAGTTGTCCTTTGCTTCCCAATTCCTGTAGATATGACTGTTTTTCTTTAGTTTTCATTGACATTATGTATACGTCTTCTCCACTTCAGCATGAATTGTAATATTTCTTGGCTACCTTTTTCTCCTTAACTAGGAGAAGTGTGCTTTCCATATATTTAATAGAAGTTTATATTTATCAGAAAAATGGAATATTGGCTTTTTAGAACCAGGAAAAACCTTTCTATCCAAATAGTTCTGCTCTCCTTAGTTATCTTAATCTAATTTTGGATTGTTTCATTTAGTCATGACCCTCTAGAAACAAATCTTTAAGTATTGCTTAAACTCATTTTTCCTGTTTAAAAAACCTTCCTCTTCCACTGAAGAGTTCTACTTTAGATGCTTATCTTCTAAGTAAGGCTGTCGATTAATTGCAGTTACCTCACTTGAAGTAACTCAAAAAAAATTAATTGCGATTAATTGCAGTTTTAATCACACTGTTAAACAATAGAATAACAAATGAAATTTATTAAATATTTTTTGATGTTTTTCTACATTTTCAAATATTGATTTCAATTACAATGCATAATGCAAAGTGTACAGTGCTCACTTTATAGTATTATTTTTATTACAAATATTTGCACCGTAAAAAGGATAAACAAATAAAATAGTATTTTTCAATTCACCTCATACAAGAACTGTAAAGCAGGCTCTTTATCATGAAAGTGCAACTTACAAATGTAGATTTTTTTTTCATTACATAACTCACTCAAAAACAAAATTAAAACTTTAAAGCCTAGAAGTCCACTTAGTCCTACTTCTTGTTCAGCCAATCGTTAAGACAAACAAGTTTGTTTACATTTACGGGAGATAATGCTTTCTGCTTTTTATTTACAATGTCACCTGAAAGTGAGCAGAAGCGTTCACATGGCACTTTTGTACGGGCATTGCAAGATATTTATGGGCCAGACATGCTAAACATTCGTGTGCCCCTTCATGCTGCCCCCACCATTCTAGAGAACATGCTTCCATGCTGATGATGCTCATTAAAAAAAAAATATGTTAATTAAATTTGTGACTGAACTCCTTGTGGGAGAAATGTTTGTCTCCTGCTCTGTTTTACCTATATTCTGCCATATATTTCATGTTATAGCAGTCTCGGATGATGAGCCAGCATATGTTGTTCATTTTAAGAACACTCACTGCAGATTTGACAAAACACAAAGAAGGTATCAATGTGAGATTTCTAAAGATAGCTACAGCACTCGACTCAAGGTTTAAGAATCTGAAGTGCCTTCCAAAATCTGAGAGGAACGAGGTGTGGAGCAGACTTTCAGAAGTCTTGGAAGAGCAACTTCAGAACCCAAACCACCTATAAAGAAAATCAGCCTTCTCTTGGTAGCATCTGACTCAGATGATGGAAATGAACATGCATCAGTCTGCACTGCTTTGGATCATTATCAAGCAGAACCCGTCATCAACATGTCCTCTGGAATGGAGGTTGGAGCATGAATCTTTAGAACCTACAAGTCCACTCAGTCCTAAAGTTTTGCATTGTTTTATTTTTGAACGCAGTTATTTTTTTTTGTATATAGTTCTACATTTTAAGTCCAACTTTCATGGTAAAGTGATTGCACTACAGTAGTTGTAATGAGGGAATTGAAAAATACTATTTCTTTTGTTTTTTACAGTGCAAATGTTTGTAAGCAAAAATAAATATAAGGTGAGCACTGTACACTTTGTATTCTGTGTTGTAATTGAGATCAATATATTTGAAAATGTAGAAAACAGCCAAAAATATTTAAATAAATGGTATTCTATTATTGTTTAACAGTACGATTAATCAGGATGAATTTTTTTAACTGTTTGACAGCCCTACTTCTAGGTTCTGTACAATTTTCCCCCACTCGTGAGAGTTTTAAAAATGCAAATCGGCTTTACTTGTCTCTTTCATCATTTTGAAAACTTGTTAATTCATCTCATACTGTTGTCCTTTCAAGCCAATGAGTACATCTTCATAGTCATTCCATATTATTTGGATGCTTGATGTCTGGAACTGTCTTTGTTTCCCATACACTACAATCTCTGCAAGGAAACAGCCCTCCTGTGATACAGGTACCAGGGAGGGACACCTTTTCATTTTGGATCTCCCCTGATGTTAATCCTAGTCCTCTGGCTGTACGGTAGTATCTTTTGCAGTCTTTTGTAGTGCTGCTCTGCACTTGATGGATGTTTTCAATGATTCTTTCATAGTAATCTTCATATCTTTTGCCTGATCGATATGTTGGGTTTATCACATGTTTATCACATGTTTATCACATATCCCTTGGTTGAGTCCCTCTCTCCTGAATTAAGCATATTATCTTTGTCTACAGTGGACTTTGTTTTCTACTTACAGATCCAGTTATCTTAACTCTCCAGCTCCTTTTGAATCTAGTTGTATGGTTTCCCGTTGATTAAGCCTCCAGTTCTATTGTAATGTGTAAATTTGGGAGCAGATGTATTTGAATGCCTCTCCTAAATGAAATTTTTCTGTATCTCTGAGGTCCAAAAAGTAACCTGTGCATAGAATTTCTGTACAATATGAAAAGTTTGTGTCTAGACTGCCCTTTATGTCCTGCTCTTAAATCAATTTTCTGTTTCACATTTTATTTAACATCCTATTTTATTACTTCCTGCTTTAGCAGGTAATCTCTATTACCTTGAAATGCAGCCTTGTCAAATGCTTTGAGGAATCTTAATATATTACAGCCAGTGAATAGTCCTGATCTGTCATCATGACAGTCATTATTCCTAAGAACCGTGGGTTACTGAAGCATGATTTTACATAGCCAAATCGTGTTTGGAGACACACACGCACCATATAAACACAAAGCGAATGTTTTAGAAAATCTGTAATGGCATCGATGTAGGATGTGTTAGACATTTTAATAAGGACATAACAGCAAAAGAATGGGAAATTATCAGGCTAAAATAGAACTTTTATTTCCATGCTGTATGTGGTGGAAATACATTTATCAGTATTTGTGCAAAAATGTAAAATCTGGCTACAGTGTGCTTTAAACTGTTGATATGTGTATAGTGCTGATGTACAGCACCACGTTAGTAATCCTGACCCCTTAATAATCTTTTCAGGAAAGCTGTTGTCTGGGATTTTTTTTTACTATTTCTGTTGTCACTCATGCAGGTCCACCAGTGCTAGCAATGGTGGGTGTGTTAGTGTAAATAATATATTGGTGTGTTAGCCGGAGTGCCATCTAACCCTCCTCAGAGCCATTCTAGATAATACAGTGACTAGTCACCTGTGTACAATCGTCCTTGATGTGGAGCTCCATCAATGATACTTCAGCACAGGAAATTATTTTTAAAAATCCAATATCAGTATGGCCTGTCACTGAAGGGGAAGAGTTATGATGCACCTAAGGAACAGAGGAATGCAAGTCCCACTGATTTGCAGTGGGGCATATGCACCTAAATCCCATAGGCACACTTGAAATCTCCTATCAGTTTTAAATTAGCCTTTTATCATTCCTTTAGCAATATCAGATCCAGACTAAATCATTTTCCTAGTAATATTTGACTATTGTTTCACTGCATTCATTAAATGGTTAGAAATTATTCCCAGTTTGGTGTGGAGTCTTACCATGAAGGGAGATGTATGGAAAATTAAATAGCTTACTTTTTAACTGTTATGTTAAATTAGATTTCTGTGTTAGTTTTTGGAAGAGAGAGGTATGTTCTGTGTTATTTACACACATTCTGCAGCAGCCAGCATAGAGCAGCTCTCTGCTGTCTCATCCTGGGGAGAGACCCTGTGGTATTTACCTGGGCCAGCCTCAGACAGGAAGGTGGCAGTCTATTAGATTGCAGGGTCATCATAATAAAAATAAAATACATAAACTGAGGGATTCTACTCCTAGCATGAATGCAGTGTAGGTACAGTATAATTTCTGTAACAATGGGACTTTTTCATTTTTTCCTTAGGAGGTAATGAAGACTTGGCTACTAATTTTTGTCATCCTTTCTCTTTTCAGATAACTCTTGATGTATTGGCAGACATGGGGCATGAAGAGTTAAAAGAAATTGGCATTAACGCATATGGACATCGCCACAAACTAATAAAAGGTGTAGAGAGACTTCTAGGAGGGCAGCAAGGTAAATATGTCAAAACAGTTGGCCCTACCTGTTAACTTCGAGTTATGTACACCTGGACCTGTCTGAAATAATTTTCAGCAGACTTTCAGCAGTTGCCTTGTAAAAGGAATGCTCTTAAACCACCCCCAGTCTTAGACCGTGACTTTAAAGAGTCTAGGTGTGGTAAGATGCGTTCCTGCTTGCAGCATTGAACCAAATTCCGGCTAGGCAGTAGAGATAAAATGGCTGGAGTCAAAGGAATCTTTCAGTCTGGTGGTGCAAAGATGGGGTGGAACCATTGTCTTGTCTCCTCTCCACCTCATCTGGGGAATGCACACCCCAAGAGGTACATGGAGGGGAGGAACACGGATTCAGCAAGGGCAAGTCATGCCTGACTAATCTAATTGCCTTCTGTGACGAGATAACTGGCTCTGTGGATGAGGGGAAAGCAGTAGACGTGTTGTTCCTTCACTTTAGCAAAGCTTTTGACACGGTCTCCCACAGTATTCTTGCCAGCAAGTTAAAGAAGTACTGGGCTGGATGAATGGACTATAAGGTGGATAGAAAGCTGGCTAGATCGTCGGGCTCAACGGGTAGTGATCAATGACTCCATGTCTAGTTGGCAGCCGGTATCAAGCGGAGTCCTGGGGCCGGTTTTGTTCCATATCTTCTTTAATGATCTGGAAGATGGCGTGGACTGCACCCTCAGCAAGTTTGCAGAGGACACTAAACTTGGAGGAGTGGTAGATACGCTGGAGGGTAGGGATAGGATACAGAGGGACCTAGACAAATTAAAGGATTGGGCCAAAACAAATCTGATGAGGTTCAACAAGGACAAGTGCAGAGTCCTGCACTTAGGATGGAAGAATCCCATGCACCGTACTGGCTAGTCAGCAGTTCTGCAGAAAAGGACCTAGGGGTTACAGTGGACAAGAAGCTGGATATCAGTCAACAGTGTGCCCTTGTTGCCAAGAAGGCTAACGTCATTTTGGGCTCTATAAGTAGGGGCATTGCGAGCAGATGGAGGGACGTGATTGTTCCCCTCTATTCGACATTGGTGAGGCCTCATCTGGTGTACTGTGTCCAGTTTTGGGCCCCACCCTACAAGAAGGATGTGGAAAAATTGGAAAGAGTCCAGCGGAGGGCAACAAAAATGATTAGGGGACTAGAACACTCGACTTATGAGGAGAGGCTGAGGGAACTGGGATTGTTTAATGTGCAGAAGAGAAGAATGAGGGGGGATTTGATAGCTGCTTTCAACTACCTGAAAGGGGGTTCCAAAGTGGATGGATCTAGACTGTTCTCATTGGTAGCAGATGCCCGAACAACGAGTAATGGTCTCAAGTTTCAATGGGGGAGGTTTAGGTTGGATGCTAGGAAAAGCTTTTTCACTAGGAGGGTGGTGAAGCACTGGAATGGGTTACCTAGGGAGGTGGTGGAATCTCCTTCCTTAGAGGTTTTTAAGGTCAGGCTTGACAAATCCCTGGCTGGGATGATTCAGTTGGTGTTGGTCCTGCTTTGAGCAGGGGGTTGGACTAGATGACCTCCTGAGGTCCCTTCCAACCCCGATATTCTATGATTCTATGCTGCTCTGAGCACAAGGCCATCATTCTAGCAGGCTCCAGCATGAAGTGCATACAGTGGGAGCAGCTCTTTGTGTACCTACGTAAAGGTCAGTCACGGTCTAGTGCAGGGGTTTGTTCCAAGATTAACACACACAACTGTTGGTTACTAATAACTAATTCCTGAATGGATCACACTGTAATTGCAAACTGTTGGAATTGTCTCTATCACACAGGCTTCAGCTGCTTCACTTGAAAGCAGAAATTGCTGGATAAGTTCTTTTCCCACATAAATTTTATTCTTTTAATATTTTATTCTATTTTAATACTCTCTTTTAATGCCTGCTGCTTTTCAAGCATTTGATCTAATTTAGGTTGTATTTCCTTTGTTTACGTCCTTTATTGCATTTGCTCCTGCTCTGGGGTTATTCAACAAACAATAATAGTAAAGCTGGGTAAAAATACAGCTGGTATTGTTTCCTACAGTTGATTTTTACTTCTTAAATTCTTCCCTTTTGCAGGCACCAGTCCTTATTTGACTTTTCACTGTGTGAGCCAAGGGACTATTCTCCTAGACCTTGCTCCCGATGATAAGGAGTATCAATCAGTAGAAGAGGAGGTATTATAAATACAAATATTTTTGTTTTAAAAATTGGCTTGTGTTTGCTGCTTAATGTCTGTCCTGGAGGTCAGTGTGGTTCTCCACTGCAAAGTGATCCTCTCAAAATAGCATTGGTGGGTTCCACCTTACTGCCACCCAGTGATTACAGATCCAGATGTGATCCCTGATGGCCAGATCTTCAAACTCCACCTAGGAACTGAAGGTCAAACTCGGTTCTTTTCCTCTTATATATCCCCAGTGCTCTGCGGGCCCAATTCCACACCCAGGTACACCTGCGCTCATCACTTTTTTTCAGATTATGGCCTCGGTGATACCTTTGCAACCCTCGCTGCCTTTAGTAGAGCTCCACAAGTGTGTCACTGACTTAAAATAAACAAGCCATGCTGTTGGTGCTGCTCAAAGAGAGACTCCAGCCCTGCAGCACCAAAGCAGTTAACAGGAATAAAAAAGATCTGACCCCAGGGCACTCAGGGAGCAGTAGGAAAGGGCCGTTTTTATGCAGTCTCTTTTGGCAAGCGAAACAACATCAAGGTCCTCTGTAGTGTGGGGGGAAAGGACCCAAGCCCCCACAGCTCCATGGGGACAGACCAGGCATCAGCATCACCTCACCCCCAAAGACAGCAGTCAATCCTGCAGCTCCCAAAAAATGAGCTGAGAGTAATTGTGGGTGGAGGCTGGAACAACCATTTCTCCCCAGGGTCCTGGGTCATCGTTGAGAGTAGGACAGGTCACACAACAGCCCCATGATCCCCTTAACGTGGCATTGCCTCTTGCCCCCAGAGAGACCAGGTGATGGGTGGGGCCGGACACACCCTTCTGCTGTTGGGGATGATGGTGCACATAGAGCTGCGACTGCTTTCGTGTTGCTGGGTGACTGCGCATGTTCAGATCTTCCTTGCTCTGTCCACTGTCTGCCAGCCAGGCTAACCCAGTGCTTCTCCCTGCCTTGCCACAATCTCCTGCTCAGGTGCTGCCTTCTCCACAGAGACACTTGGATACTAAGGCGATGAGTGCCAGGATAAGAACTTAGATAGGGTAGGATGGATGCTGTATGCTGTGACCCTTACCTGTAGTTGGTGTCCCGATGTGTATGCACCACGGGGCCACGTATGTGCACCTACCTTCATGAAAGTCATCAGTTTTTCCCTTTTTTAGCTAGGGTGTTTGGGAACATAGGTTAAAATAGAACCAAAGGGATTACACTCTCCTTCATCCCTTTCCCTGTGGTTTGTATCCACTGCTTCAAGAGGCAGCTCCTTATGCTTCTTGAAGTCTTTTGGAAACACCCATTGAATGTGCTCTTGGGTCTGGGTCATTAACTCCCCTTACAAAGTGTATTTTCTTGGAGAAGTGTTCAAAAGGCTCATATGACAGATCAAAATGAGGAGGGAGGTTTTGTGTGTACTACTTTATGGTATTAGCTATTTAAATGGAAAAATAAACAGATTACATTGTAAAACCTTTGACCTTGAGCCCTAGACCTTCGTGTGTGATCTGTCCATTCCTGTTAGTAGGAAAGCACATTAGGACATGCAGGATCAGGGACTTAGGGTGCTATTTTAACAAATTGTTTGCTTAGTTTAATAAGGAGGCATGGTATGACAACCTCATTGTGTCCGATCACCTTGTCACCAGTGAAATACTGATGCCAAGGGTCTGCTTAGCAACCCTAACAGCTTGCTGCCCTAGCAAAAGTCAGAATATCGACTGCAAAGTTCACATGTATTAGACTGTTTTGCCTCTCACTTGGTACAGTTTATGTTGATTTTCTGACTTAACATTGCCCTAGATTGTAACTGTTTCTGTGATGTGCTAGTGTTTTTTTGTTTTGTTTTTAAAGTAAGTTGAAAATGTTTAAGCTACTTCTTGCTTAGACAAGAGTTTGGAAATCCAGAGTTCATACAGGATTGCATATAGCTTGCGTAACAGACAGAGTCAACTGCCAACAGAGTCAAATACAATATTTATTTGGGCTGTTATTAAATTCTGTTACTTTAACTGTAATTGTCTACCAAAAGTCACTTACCTGTAGATGAAATTATAGTTCTTGATAGCTGGTAATAGTAATGTACAAACATCACAATGTATTGATCCCCCCAGTAACCAAGAAATGGAAGATTATGTACCTTAGTTATACATTCTTTATTATGTCAACATAGTCTTTCCAGAAAATCTTTCTTGCTTTTTGTAACATTATAATTGGAACTTTTGAAATTCAATGAAATTCATTGGACAGCAAATTCCAATGTGCTTATTTTCTTACTTGGAGTTTTATTGACAAGTTGGGTCATTGGATTTGTTCTCAGCCAATATCCTGGAGCAATGTGCTCCACTGGGACTTTCTGTACTCTAACAAATTAAAGAACATAGCTGTATTCAAATTTGAGGTCTCTTAACTTTTGGGTTTCTTTGCTCATTCTCCACGAATGTAATCTGTTATAAGTATATTCACCGTTCCCCATTTTTTGGCCTTGCTTAAATGAACTCCCTTTCCAGCTCATTAATATTATTAGCAGGTGTCAATGTTTCAGAATTCCATTTGATATTCTTATGCAGATGCAAAGTACAATCCGGGAGCACAGAGACGGTGGCAATGCTGGAGGGATCTTCAACAGATATAATGTCATCAGGGTAAGTCTCAAAGACTTCAGAAAATCAGAAGTAAAATAAATGGTAATTATGCTAACAGGTGGAATCATTTTGATATGCTGCCCTGTCATTATATAATTGCATACAAAAATCCACATTACAAGAACGTCAAAGTTGCACAGTCAAGCATTCAGAAGGTAAGAAATACCAAAATTAAGACTGTACATCCATGCTGTGCAGTGAAGGAGGCAGGAGGTGACCATGTAATTACAGACTGTACCATAATGCATACACACAAAGGGGATAAATTATTAAAGTGGAACAGGCAATCTTAATTCTGGCTTCTGATTGCTTGACTTTGCAGCCTTAACGTTGTGTAGGGTTTTTTAATGTAATGTCCCCAATTTTTTTTTTACAAAGCAAACTTCGACCTGCTTCATATTGCCTTGATGTCAACAGGGATAGTATTGGGAGCACAGACGAGACAGCTGCCCTGCTTTCAGTTCCTGTGGCCAGTCCCACAGGAGCTCCCTACAGCTCCTGGGATGGAACATGTTCAGTCACTCTGGGGATAGCCAAGTGCAGTCCTGTCACCATTAGGAGCTGTGAAGGGATGGAGCATGCTCAATATGGATAGAATTTTCAGAGTATTTAGCTGCCAGACTCTTCAAGTCTCTACTGAGCATGTGCAAACTGAGATTTCTCAGAGGCTCATAACTAGGCCAGTTTGGATGGATTTTCCCAGGGATGGCAAAAGGCACATCCCTGACACCAGGCCTAGCTGCATCACCACCACCAAATTTGAAGTCCCTGCTTCAAAGCTTGAAAGCACCAGACTGGAGCTTCACAGCAAAATAGTATTATGAATGTTTCATGTACACAAAACAACACATTTTCCCCTAACTTTTTCTCAGAAATGGCTGAACAGTTTTTGCCTAAATTTTCCAACAAAATTCTGCCTGAGGCAGGAACCTAAAATTTCAGCCCAAATGGTAAAAGTTTGGCAAAGTAATAAGCAACTGAAAACAGGATCTTATAACAGGAAGTGTTGGGCTACCTTGACTAAAGGTGGTCTGCCAGCTCTGTCTGTAATGTTTTTTACCAATTTTGTTTTAAAAGCAAAACCACCCCAGATATTTGTTATACAGTCCATGCCTCTTGCTACAGTTTCCCTATACTGTATAGAATTACATTTCATTAGAATTGAATCATATTTTTTGTTTACACTGTAGATTCAGAAGGTTGTGAACAAGAAGTTGAGGGAGAGATTCTGTCACAGACAGAAGGAGGTGTCCGAGGAAAATCACAACCATCACAATGAGCGTATGTTGTTTCATGGTGAGGAACTAGTCTCTATTTCTAGGCTTCACGACTTCTTAAAAAAAAGGGGGGAGTGGGGAGGAAATGTTAGTGTTAATCATTGTACATTGTTTTTGTATTTCTGCTCGCTTTCCTCTCCACCATCAGAACGTATGCAAGTGTGTTTTGATGAGAAAAGTTACACTTCTTCAAGAAGTGTCCCTGTGGGTGCTTCACTTCAGGTGTGCATGTGCCCCTGCACCTTTGAGCAAAGATTTTTAGAAGCAGTGCCCGTTTGGCCCTTCCATGGGCCCTACACATTCTCATGCCCTGTTCCGAGGATATATAGAACCGCATGCAGGACCCACCCTCCGTTCTTTTTCAGGCTCCTTCAGCCTGAGATGAAGTGTAGAGTGTGCCTGTCCTCGTCAGCCTAGTTCGTGTTTAATGTTTGTGGTGTTAGTTTTTGGAATCACGGTTCCCTCTTTTTTTTCTTCTTTTTTCTCCCTGTTAAGCGGGATTTTTTGGACTTTGCTCTGGGTGTCTGACTGGATCCCCTAGTTTTAAGAGCTTTCTTTCCTTTCATGAACCTATCCCTATCAGTGACAGGCATCCTCAGTGTCTCTGTCAATTTGGTAGACACTCATATCCCCAGCAAGTGCAAGTTCTGCATCTCATTCAAGAGCAGATCTCAAAACCATAGGGAAACAAGGTTTAGATTAGTGATAATTTAGTGACAGGGGGAGGGTTAGCTCAGTGGTTTGAGCATTGGCCTGCTAAACCCAGGGTTGTGAGTTCAATCCTTGAGGGGGATATTTAGGGATCCGGGGCAAAAATTGGGGATTGGTCCTGCTTTGAGCAGGGGGTTGGACTAGATGATCATAGAATCATAGAATATCAGGGTTGGAAGGGACCCCAGAAGGCCATCCAGTCCAACCCCCTGCTCAAAGCAGGACCAATTCCCAGTTAAATCATCCCAGCCAGGGCTTTGTCAAGCCTGACCTTAAAAACCTCTAAGGAAGGAGATTCTACCACCTCCCTAGGTAACGCATTCCAGTGTTTCACCACCCTCTTAGTGAAAAAGTTTTTCCTAATATCCAATCTAAACCTCCCCCACTGCAACTTGAGACCATTACTCCTCGTTCTGTCATCTGCTACCATTGAGAACAGTCTAGAGCCATCCTCTTTGGAACCCCCTTTCAGGTATTTGAAAGCAGCTATCAAATCCCCCCTCATTCTTCTCCTGAGAAGATGATCTCCTGAGGTCCCTTCCAACCCTGAGATTCTATGATGGAACAAGCCCAAAGACCAACTTCTGACCTGGGTACCGAAAACCTCCACATACACAGGGCTTCAAGTGCCCCATCTACTTTGAGATCCTTGTCACTGAATGCCTCAACGTATACAGGCTGAACTATGCTGTTTACCTCTGGGCATCAGTCACCAAAAGTCTCAGCAGACAGCTTCTGTGTCAGAAGTCCGCAGTACAGAGAGCTGTGTTACCTAAGCTTCTGGTTGCTGATGAGAAGAATCGGAGTACTGGGTGTCTTAGAAAATCTTGGCCACCAAATCACAAAAAGACTCTGCATATCTCATGTCACAAGGGGAATTCTTTAGATTCTCCATGTGGTTCAGGTACCGGGAAGGCCTCTAAGGTGTCCTCTAAGAGACTGACTACAAAGAGAGATTGGGTACTCAGGTCATCTACTTCGTACCCAGACCGCTAGAGATCTCAAAGAGGACTACACCACCAGACACTGAAGTTGAATTTCTGATACCAACATGCATTGGGAGGAAGAGTCCCCTGCCTAGTGGTTAGCACCCCAAGGCAGCAGTCACCCCCAGTGAGTGCAGTTAGGGTCAGCAGCACTGCCTAATGGGTGCAGTTCAGGTTAGCATCTCTGCCTAGGGGATACAGGTCAGAGGTGGCACTGGGTTTATATGAACCCAAAACTATGGTAACTAGTCTCTGTTTTCCAGGCAGCGTCAGGAAATAAATCAGTGGGGGACGCAGCACTTCTGTCTGATAAACGATTGGTTCACACACAAGTGCTTCCATCCAAAAATCCTTGTTTTTATTGAATACAAAGCACACATCAAAAATAGCAATAGTCTAGAGCACCCCAGATAGATATAGTTACACAAAGGCTGAGATAGTGTCGAGTGGCAGCAGCAGGGTTCCAGTGGCTGGCTTTCCTTCTAGCCACTGGGGAGATGGATTTCAGTGTCTCCTTGCCCATAGAAAATCCAGACTTCTCCAGAGTATTCTCTCTAACTAAACTCTTTATAGGTTTCTTCAAACAAAGCACATAACTCATAATGACCCCTAATATGCTAGCAATTTCCCTAGCAACAGCAAATAATAATTCATTATTCTACTTATCAGCAAAGCAACTTCAGCTAGAAGTTTTACAGACACAGGCACCTGGACCAAGGTCAGCTCCCTTCCATTCTCATTTAATGCCATTTTACTTTATCTATCCTTGTTAGTAACACTGCAGCTTGTGCAGCTGTTTTTGTCTGCCTAAGCAAGTCCAAATTCTTCCTCTCTACGTGGTATCCTCACCTTCACTTCATGATGGCTAAATGCACAAGAAGGCTGCTGGTTATGGCAAGTGCAGGTTTATGTTAAGTCCAGTTCTTTCATAACATCTCCATCTAGTGGGTACGGGCCTTGGGCAGGGTTGGAGAACCTGGGCCCTCCACTCCACTGGGTTGCAATGCAGAGACCTGGGAGGCTGGTTTGGCTGCTTACCTGGTGGCGTCTTCTGTCAGCCTCAAGTCAGTTTTCCTGGGTCACTTCCTGCTGCAATCTGCGTCCCAGCCAGCTGCTGTCCATCTCTGGGGATTGCCACCTCCAGGCTTTCAGCCCTAGTCCCGGTCATCGGGTACTGTTGCTCCCCTGTATCCAGGCAGCAGTTTGGTGCCTCCTTCACCCAGAATTGCTCCTTAATCCCCTTCTGTCCTATGAGGGGTTTATACACCCCATCGCACAACACCATCCCATCACACTGTGGTACTGACAGCATCTTGAACCTCTGCAATAACAACATAGTCTGCTCGTGGTCACTCTCAAACCAAGCTTCCAGTGTCCAAGATATTTGTACCAAAACCAGTCTCTACAGGATCTCACCTAGCTGCTACCCATATACCATCAATATCACAGGAGTTTAAGTATTCAAGAGACGACATTGTTTCAGTGAGCCAGAATGCCTGCTATTGTCTGGTACCGAGCGTTTACCTGTACCGACACCCACTCGGTCACTGACTCCTCATTTTCCTCCCAGGCCACCTGACTCACTGAACTCTACCATCCATGATGATCAGTTGTTACCTACCATGGAATATATTGAGGAAGACTCATCTGACTCAGATTTCAATACAGGGTTTTTCTGTCAGGGTTTTTCTCCAATACGCACTAACACAAGAGGACAGAAGACCTCCAGCTCCATTCTCTTGGCTTGACCAGCGTGGATGCTTTCCCCCTTGGACCTCCCCAGTGGCCTTGGACTCTGTACTGTCAGCAATTTGACAACATCTACTCACTCCCACAGAGAGCATAAAGAGGTATTTTCCTTAGCCCCCACTCCCACCTTTTCTAGCAGAAGAGAGGACCTTTGAGGACCAGGAGGCAAGGGCTGACAAGAAGATGACATCTCTTACTAATATATCGTCATCGCCTGACGAAGCAGTCATGCCTCCTCCACCTTCGATAGCGGATGACTGATATGCGGATGTCACTGATATACTTCATATTCCATTAGAGGTGATCCAGGATTCCCATCATAAGCTCCTGGACATTTTGCACACCTCAGCTTCTACACAAGTAGACATCTCTGTCAATGAAGCTTTACTGGAATCTGCTAAGATCATCTGCGACTGCACCATCTACTTGCAAGCATGCAGATAAGAAATACTGTGTCGCAGCTAGGGATTTTGAGTTTTTATTCTCCCACTCTGCATCAAACTCCCTGGTAGTGTAGGCGGATAATGAATGCAGTGGGCAGCACAATACAAAATCTACCCCTTGCAACAAGAACAAGAAGAGACTTAACCTCTTTGGTTATAAGACTTACTCCTTAGCCATGTTGCAGTTTTGAGTAGTGACTCGTCAGGCCCTTATGTCAAAATACGACTATTGGAACTACAATACATTTAAAACCTTTATTGAACATCTACCAGAGGAGCATGAGGAGCAGTTTAAAGCTATTATACAGGAAGATCAGCTTTTGGTAAAAATATCCTTTCAGGCTCCTTGGATGCAGCTGGTACTGCAGCCAGGTCCATCTCCACTGTGATCATAATGCAGTGAGCATCTTGGCTGCAGCTGTCAGGCTTTCCTAGGGAGATGCAGAATAATGCTGAAGATCTCCATTGTGACAGCCTTTAATTGTTTTTCAAGTCTACACATGACTCCATTCACACCTTGAATGACCGAAGGCCAAGCACAGATCCTTTCGGATCTATACACCAACATATAAAAGAAAGTTTAGCAAGTCACAGTCAGCACAGAGATCTTGCTCAGCCCATTTTTCCACCTTCCATAGGCCACCCGGGCCAAGAGGCCTAAATATTCAAAAAGGAAGCCAGTGGTTGCCACAGTTTCTTCATCCCAGCCATCCACGTAGTCCAAGCACCAGTTTTGTTGGCTTTGTCAAGAGTCTAACTCTTGCCCACTTGACAAGGACTCACTGTTGCACCATCCTATCCTCCTTCTCCCCTTTAAATACTTCCTCTCCCAGTTTCAGCCTGCTGGGAGACCATAACATCCAACAGATGGATGTTGGAGGCCATTACATCTGGTTATACTAATCATTTCACCTCCATCCCCCTGTCCCTCCCTTCCCCTATCCCTTTTCAAAAACCCATCTCATGGGCAATTGCTGAGACAGGAAATGGCCTCGCTGCTATGCTTAGGGGCCATGGAACGAGTTCCAGTTCAGCTCAGGGGAAAGAGGTGCTACTTCAAGTACTTTCTGGTCCCCAAAAAGAATGGGGATGGAGGTCAGTATTCCATCTCAGATGCACGAACAACTGTGTGAAACAGCAGAAATTCAGGGTGGTAACCCTTGCAGCTGTAGTTCCCTCCCTCGATTCCAGGAATTGGTTTGTGACTCTCAACTTTCAAGCAGGGCTTTGGAGCGGAGCCCAGAGCTGGAGTGCAGAGCAGCTCCGGAGCAGTGCAGCTGCAGGTTTTTGCCTGGAGCTGGAGCGGACCTGGAGCACAGTTCCAAAGCTCTGCTTTCAAGACATGTATTTTCATGTGGCAATTCATCCCGCTCACAAGAGATTTCTTCACGTCATCATCGAACGTGACCACTATTGGCACCACGTGCTCCCTTTCAGCCTTTCCTCTGCCCTAAGGGTATTCTCCTAGATCCTCGTGGGCATAGATCCCCACCTTCATCACCTGATGATAATGGTCTTCTCTTTCTTGACAATTTGTTGATCGGGGCTGATCTTATCAAGGGATATTGTCAGCAGTACAAGCGATGAGGTCGCTATTCCACATTTTGGGCCTTCGACTCATTCTCAAAAAGTCAGTTTTGACACCAGCACAGCAGATAGACGGCAGAGGAGCTTCTCTAGTTGTGTTAACAGCCAGGGCTTACCGTCCTATGAACAGATTTCTCACCCTGCAGAATCTCATCTCAAGGATTATGCGCAGTTCTCATATTCCGGTAAAAAATTGTCTTCAACTGCTAGGGCACATGGCAGTTTGCATCTTTGTATCTCAGTGTGCCAGATTATATTTTCAGTGCATCCAGGAATGGGTCGGACAGTCTATGTGCCAAACAAGCAGAGTCTGGACAAGCCCTGTTCCCCAGTAGGTTCTGCAGTCATTCAGCTGGTGAAAGGATACTCATTGCTCTCAACTCTAGAAGATTGATGTGAAGAAACTGCTCTCGAGATGACTATTTGCCCTGTTTTTTTTGCGACCCCCAAATGTGCCCCCCTAGCCCAAGAGTGGTGTGTCTGATGTAATGATGATGGTGGGAGGATCTTGAACAAACGGGACTCCTGAACACTCCTTCAAACCATTAGCTACATGTTTGCTTGTTCACCTTTCCCCAAAGACAGTCTTCTTGGTGTCCATCACTTCCGTCCAGAGGGTCCAAGAGCTGGGGAATTTAATGGCGGATCCCCCTTTATAGAGTTTTTCAAAGAATCATTATAGCCACATCCAAACAAAGGTGGTGTCTATGGTGTCTTCTGAATTTCATATAAACCAGACCATTCATCTCAGTTTTTTTTCCCAAAATCAAATCAGACTCAGTAGTAATCTGCCTTCCATAGGTTAGATGTCAGAAGCCTAAGGACATCAGCTTTTCGTCTGGATAGAACCAAACCTTTCCAGAAGATCCCTAGACTGTTTGTTTCAGTTGCAGACAGATCCAAGGGATCCACAATTTCCAACCAGACGGTCTCAAGATGGATCTTTGGGTGTGTTATTTCATGTTATGACCCTGCTCGCATTCAGCCTCGTTCCAGAGGGTTAGCCCGCTGTACAAGATCACAGACTACTTCTATGACATTATTTTAGAATGTTCCAGTTGTTGAGATTTGCAGACCTTCGACCTGGACTTCAGTACATACTTTCTCCAACAATTATGCTGTGGTTCATGCCACTAGATCGGATGCTGCGGTTGGCAGTGCAGTTCTGTCTTGAGTACTAGATTCTGTTTCAGAGCTCCCTCCTCTCTGTGGGACTAGTGCTTGGCAGTCACCTGAAGTGGAGCAGCCATGAGGAAGGAGCAGTTATCTTGTGCAGTAACTGGAGTTCACTGAGATGTGCCCTCCTACCCAGCCTCCTTCCTCTCTGCTTTGGAGTTTTGGGCAGGGATGGTGTCCCTAGCCTCTGGTTGCCAGAAGCTGGGAATGAGCAACAGGGGTGAATCACTTGATTACCTGTCTGTTCATTCCCTCTGGGGCACCTGGCATTGGCTACTGTCAGAAGACAGGATACTGGGCTAGATGGACCTTTGGTCTGACCCAGTATGTCAGTTCTTATGTTCTCTTATTGGACTTTGTGGTAGAGAAGGAACTGAGGGCAGAACAGGGCACAAGGATGGGTAAGGCACATGCATGGGCTGAACAAGCACTGCTACCAAAAATATCCAATCAAAGGCACAAGGGTGCGTGCACACCTGAAGTGGAGTCCCCGTAGGGACACACATCTTGAAGAACTCCAGTTGTTGCACAGGGTGAGTAACCTCGCTTTTATATTTCAGACCTGCCATTTCTTTGTTAAACCATATTCAGTGCAAGCCACTTTGCTGGACCTATTGGCAGCCCTTAGGAAGGACATTTAGTTGGGGATTGGTCCTGCTTTGAGCAGGGATTTGGACTAGATGACCTCCTGAGGTCCCTTCCAACCCTGATCTTCTATGATTCTATGACATTGCATTGCCATGAGAGAGGCAGGATGTCAGAGAAAGGAGGGGAGCTGCACCATGCCAGGGTAGGTTAGGGAGCCAGAGAGGACGGAAAGAACAAGGAGGACATCAAAAGACTCTGGAGAACTGCTCAGAAATGCTTGCAAACTACAGCCTCCTGAATAGCTTAAGCAAATTGCACAAGCCCCAGTAAAAGTCGGTTTCGTGTAGCAAAACGTTGTCAGGATAATCAGACAAAAGCTGCCTGTCTTAGGTGGAATTAACTGCTGAAGAATGATTACATTTGACAAGATAAATTGCACTGAAATTTGAGTGGGGGGGAAAAGGCATGTAATGAGATTTAGTAAATGAATAACAAATATCATGAGTCATATGTAGGATTCTGGTACATAATGATAAATCCCATCCCCTACAGTATTTTATCAGGTATAGCTTCCCCTTGAGTTGACTGAATTCATTTTCAAACATTTAATTTACATATTACACATAAACAAGTACCTCTTATCAGTAAAAGTCTACAGTAAGTCTGAGCTCCAACCTGCACAAAAGCTAACCGCCCCCCCCCCATGTGTCTTTCTGTTCTAGGGTCTCCTTTTATTAATGCCATTATTCACAAAGGATTTGATGAAAGACATGCGTACATTGGAGGGATGTTTGGAGCTGGAATTTACTTCGCAGAGAACTCCTCGAAAAGTAACCAGTATGTGTATGGAATTGGGGGAGGGACTGGCTGCCCAACACACAAAGACAGATCCTGTTACATTTGTCACAGGTAAGTTTCCAATGGATTTGCCCACAGGGAAAACACACGATTTCTGTCTCCTTTATGCTTTTTAGCTCTGGCACAGGATGTGCTTCAGAGAAAGACTAGCCACTTGGGCTTGGACATGGCATGAAAATTCAGTTTTTACAGTTTGTCAGGGCTGAACAGAAAGGGTCCCAGCAAGCCCCAGAAGGGGTTTGAAAATTACATATAGACATTGAGTTTACAGGGAGTATAAATAAAAGAGAATGGTGGCTTATGAATAAGGCTTGAAATATCAGGGTTGAAACTGAGTGGATCATGGTAAATAATAGTGATTGGATGCCAAGCAATCTTTACAGCTGCTTGTGCCTCCATGTAGTGGCTTCTGCTGGCAGAACAAACCTGGGTGCCAAGAACTGGATTTATTGCAGCTTGACCAAAGAGCAGGGTTTTTGTAGCGAGCAAATATTCATGGATTTTGTGTGTGTCATTTATTCAAGGCCTTGATTGTCAACGAAGTATATCAACAAGCTCTACAGTGGTTCATAGGCGAGTGGCCTTGGCCTCTCTCCCTCTCTGAACCAGTCATTGGGTAATAAGAATTTGAGCTGCCTGCAACAAAACAGTTTAAAATAAATTATAAAGTAGATCACCACAGCCTGCATTTTACCAGATGTGTGTCCACATGCACCGTTTTTTATGAAGGTTTTTCTTTCATTCATGGTTTTCATTTTTAAAAATGTATTCTTAATTTCCTTATTTGAAGGCTCAGGGAAATGCATTTTGATTACTTAAACAAGTTCCTAAATATTGAAGTCGTTCTTAAGGTTTACAGTAGTCGTCTGCTCCCAGTAAGATTTGATCCATGTGTTGTGTTCATTTCTCTCTTAGACAAATGCTTTTCTGTAGAGTCACTCTTGGAAAATCCTTTCTGCAGTTCAGTACAATGAAAATGGCTCATGCCCCTCCAGGACATCATTCTGTAATTGGCAGGCCAAGCGTGAATGGACTTGCATATGCTGAATATGTTATCTACAGAGGAGAGCAGGTATGTGGATTATAAATTGGGCCTTTCATTTTCAGTTTTTATTTTATTTAATTTTGCATGTGAATTTATCAGTGTTTATTACCACAACAACAAAAACATGTGAAAATCAGTGCAAAACACTATTATTAATTTTTCTGGGTAAATATCAGGGTTTATTTTGGTGACCTGAAAGACAGGAAAAAAGTATTCAGTAGATTAATGCTTTGAATTCCACTCATCAGTGTGTTTTGCTGCAGAACTAAAACAGAACTCAAAACCCAAGGCCACCTCTGAGTTTAAGAAAACAATATATCTCTAATCCCCACATAAAACTTCATTTGAATAAGCAGTTTATTATTGTAGACTTAGAACTATTAGCATATAAATATTTACATTTAATAATTGGGCCGCACCATTTGCAGCGCATACTCAACTTCATCCTTTTCTCCTGTTTTTGTTTTTTTTTAATTTTTGAATAATTCCTTATGTTCTGAAACGTGTTTTGAGACAGATTTTTGTTCTCTTTCCATTTTAGTGTGTTAAATCTTTAAACTGTTATCTGCTAGTCCCTTGAAATGTGTACGTGGTGGGCATGAGATTCATCAGTACGTTCAGATGTGCATGCACTTCAGAGTTTGCATGCGTGTCTGTTTGTTGTGTGTATCTTCTAGACTAATAATACACAGCCTTCCGTCAACAGGCAGCTTTGCACATACACCCAGACTAATGTATTATCATACAATATATTGCATGAGATATGTGTTATTTTCCTAATAAAGCAAGTTATTGTTTATATAGTTAAATGATACAAAAGTAGGGTGAAAATCAGAAAAAAATGAATCATCGCTTTTGTGAAACCTGGGAATTTTTCAGTAAAAATCAGTTTAAACTGAAAGCAAAGGGGCTTAATTATAAAGTATCAGAATAATGGAATGTGCAAAATTTGTAGTCAGTGTGGCCATGTCATATACCAAGTATTGTGTGCTTGTCTGATAACCATCCAAATAATGTTCCCAAATTATGTACCAGTCAGGGCTCTACAAGTCATTTGAATACATAGTGGTGGCCAGATCCCCAGCTGGTGTAAATCAGCATAGCTTCCATTGACTTCAGTGGTGCTACACAGTTCTACACAGATGAGAATCTGGCCTTTGTGTATATATAATCTGGTAGCACTGATTCTCCATGGCCTTGGCTCTGCTGCAGCGAAGGCAGACTAATTTCAAAGACTTTTCTGGTAGTTAGTGGGCAGAGCTGTGTCTTATTCCATAGATGCCAGTTAGTAGTTACGGTGATCGTTGCTGCAAAGTGTACGATTGCCATGCAAAAAGGGAGTTGGGTGATTCCTTATGTGGCCAAACTTAGTCTTACTTTTGTACCAGCATAAGTAGTACTGAAGACTTGTTTTGAATAAAACCAGTTCAGATAAGACATTTGCCCTGGGAATGCAACTTTCCATTGACGTGCCCTGTTTACTGTGAGCACCTGCAGGAAGGTTGTTCCCACAGTCCACGGCTCAGAGGAAGCAGTGAAGCTCCAGAATGCTGTGCCCTGGAGCAACACAGCCAGCGCAGTGCTGTGCCACAGGGACCAGCACCCAGCAGCTCCCACTGTTCTTCAAGTGATTGCTCATGTGTAGTCCACTATAGGTGTTCGTGCTCACCACTTGCACCAGTGTTGGAAGCTTTTCCCCAAGCAGTACCTGTAGGGGAGCGCCCCTAGCGACTCCTGGAGTGGCGCCTCCATGGTGCGGTAGAAGGGGCGCTGCATGCTCCCCTCCACACTCAGTTCCTTCTTACCGCCAGTGAAGTTGCTTTGGAACTGCTCTGCTCCAGCTCTGCTGCAGCTCATCCCCAGGACTCTTGTTCGTTCAGTGTTGGTACCTGCAGTTAGTAGTTGATTAGTTTAGTTTAGTTTAGTTAGTGCGCCCGGGCCAGGGCATGCCCCAGGCCCCGGGTTTTAAGTTGTGAGACACTTGTAGGCGACCAGTGCCAGTGAGTGATCCACAGGCAGACTGTTTATCTGTTTGGGTGAAACCCATCTCCACGATCGCTGCAAGATTTGCAAGTCGTTTAAGCCTCGGACCAAGAAAGAAAGAGACATTAGGCTTCAGGCCATCCTGATGGAGTCAGTGTTGACCCCGACTCTGGCGTGCCGCTCCGAGTCGGCACCGGGTATCGCGGTGTCAGTACGCAGCGACCCACCAGCACCATCTCCTAGTCGGCATGGCTCCCCATCCACGGGACACGCCAAGAAGGCTAAGAGGCCTTCTTCATCATGGCACCGGAGCAAGACTGGGGGAGAGACTAGACACATTCTGGGCAGTCCTCAGTCCCCATTGGCCTCCGACTCAGGTCAAGTGGAGTAGCCCAGCCCGTTCGGAGCAGGCTTCCCTGGATGTCCGGATGCCCTCAGGACATTATGTCCATGCCAGTACCTGGAGCACCATCAGTGTTGGCCACGCGGTCCAGAGGCAAGCCACCACTGGAATCTCCACAGTCTCCCCCGGCTCAGTACCGGTCTCGGTAGAGGGAATGTTCCTGACGCCATTCGCCGCTCAGCAACCATCCTGTGCATAGTCCATGTAGGTTGCCGTCAACCCCCACCAGGCTGTCTGGCTGGGTTCCGTCTGACATAGACTCCTGGCACCGCTCCACCTCGAGAAGTGGATACCGACGGGACCAAGGCAGATGACGCCAAAGGTCCTCGTCTCAACAGGACTACCGTAGCCAGTTGAGACACGAATGTCGACGCCGTTCTCGTTCTTCGTCTCACTCCAGGACCCCACCTTGGCACCGCTCCCATAGCCCCGGACATCAATCGCCGGTGCCTCGCTGTCGCGGATCTGCCTGCCGGAGCCGATCACAGAGCAGCTGCTACCGGTGCTACCGTTCTTCCACGTCAGGGTCATGGTCTCGTGGTCAGCACCACTCCCGGCGTCGCCGCTCCTCCCGGTCCAGGGACAGCGGCAGGTCATATGTCAGCCCGGCCTCCCTTGGTAGTCATCCATTGCTGGGTCAGGCCAGTCAGGCCGAACAGCCTGCTCCGCTGGTGCCACAGCAGGTGCAGTGGCAAGGGGCCCCGGGACTGGCGCAGTGGTACCAGTGGGCACCATGGCCCCTAACGCAGCCCCCAGTGGCGGTTGGCTCGGTGGCCGGAGCTTCTGAACAGCCGGTGGCCTCCCTCTCCTGGCCTCCGAGGAAGGTGTCGGTGGGACGCACGTCTTCAGCACCGTGCCTGGAGAGCAACCAGGGGGTGGATCCTCCGGTGCCGGTGGACACACAAAGCACCGCGCCTATCTCCTCGCCCTCCCCTGATGAGGCGATTACAGCCCTGCCTCCTTGCGTCCCACAGGAGGACTTTAAAGCCCACCAGGAACTATTGAAAAGGGTGGCATCAAACCTCAACCTCTAGGCAGAGGAGGTGGAGAAGCCCTCGGACTCCTTCTTTAACATCCTGTCTGCCTCGGAACCGGGCAGGGTGGCCTTGCCACTCCATGAAGGAGGGGCGAAAATTTCAAATGCCTTGTGGCAAACCCGGCCTTACTCGCCCCCATCTCTAAGAGAGTGGAATGCTAGTATTTTGTGCCCCTAACTCCCTGGTGGCTGAGTCAGTCAACCACAGGGAATGAATGGCAGGGCCAACCAGCCCCTACTCTGAAAAATAAAGACTTGAGGAGGCTATATTCCTTTGGAAGAAAAATTTCTTCGTCCTCGACCTTCCAGTTACAGGTGGCGAACCATCAGACTCTCCTGGGCCAGTACGAGTTCAATCTATGGGGCTCTCTGCCAAGTTCGAGGACTCCCTCCAGGAGTGCAACAGGAAGGAGTTCAAAGCTCTGGTGGAGGAGGGTACAGCAGTTGCCAGGGCAATCCTGCAGGCAGCGTTGGATATGACGGACATGGCCACGCAGTCCATGGCCTTCACAGTGTCCATGAGAAGGGCATCGTGGCTCCTGCTGTCCGGGCTGTCCAGCGAGGCGCAGAGCTCCCTGCAGGACCTCCCATTTGATGGCAAGGCTCTGTTTGCAGAAGAAACAGACATAAAACTGCATGGCCTGACGGACTCCCGCACTTCGCTTAAGACTCTCTTGGCCTCTATGTTCCGGCTCCGGCTAGACCTGAGTTTAAGCCGCACCAGGCTCCCACCCAGGCCACCCACTCTAAATATGAGCCCCCCCATAAAAAGTCATGGGACTATACGAAATGGTTGCAGAGACAGTCTCGGTCTGCCCCCGAGCCTGGATCCTCCAAAGGCAAATAGGCAAGGAAGTGGCAGTTTTGACAGGACACCCAGGGGTGACCTACCAGTTCTCATCAGGGATCCACCCCCAGTAAAGCTTCCCTTCTCCAACTGGTTATGTGCTTTCCTCCTGGAGTGGTCGCAGCTGACCTTGGACCGATGGGTCCTCAGCACCATCTCTCGGGGCTACACCCTCCAGTTTACCTATACCCCGCCCAACCACCCTTCACCCCCATCCCTCCAGGGGGACCCCTTTCACGAGGCTCTGCTTGAGCAGGAGGTGGGGTGGCTCCTTGGTCTAGGAGTGGTGGAAGTGGTGCCAGCGGAGTTCAAATGCAAGTGGTACTACTCCCGCTACTTCCTTATCCCAAAGGCCAAAGGGAGGCTCAGGCCCATCCTGGACCTGCGAGGCCTGAACCAGTACATGGTGAAACTCAAGTTCTGCATGGTCTCCCTGGCCTCCATCATCCCCTCCCTGGATCCTGGGAACTGGTATGCCACCCTCGATCTGCAGGACATGTACTTCCACATCCATATATTTGAGGGGCACAGACGCTTCCTCCGTTTCACGGTTGGGCAGGAACACTACCAATTTACGGTCCTCCCGTTTGGCCTGTCCACTGCCCCCAGGGTATTTACAAAGTGTATGTCTGTGGTGGCAGCCTACCTCAGGAGCCGTGGGATCCAGTCTGGACTACTGGCTGGTCAAGGGGAGCTCCTAGTCGCAGGTATGGAACCATGTGGCTCTCCTCCTGTCCACATGCGCCACTCTGGGCCTGTTGGTAAATGACACCCGCATTAGTCCCAGTACAATGCATAGAGTTCATTGGGGTGGTCCTGGACGCCACATCAGCCAGAGTCTCCCTCCCACAGGACAGGTTCGAGACCCTGAAAGGGCTCATTGCCTCGGTCACAAGGTTCCCAGTGACAACTCTTGGGTCACATGTCGGCGTGCACATATGTGGTTTGTCACACCAGACTCAGGATGAGGCCCCTTCAGCTCTGGTTGGCCTCAGTATTCTCCCAAGCCAGAGACAGGATGGACAAGGTCCTCACTGTGCCCGAACTGGTGATCGCCTCCAAATGATGGTGGTCCTCCCCGGGGAACATGCTCCACGGGGTCCCATTCAGAGGTAGGCCTCATCTCTGGAACTGGTGTCCAATGGGGAGCCCATGAGAGAGACGTTCAGACCCAATGTCTGTGGTCTGTGCAGGACCTGGTCAAGGAGCTCAGGGCAGTCCAGCTGGCGTGCATGGCCTTCCGCTCGTACCTGGAGGGCAGGGTGGTCAGGGTCCTCACGGACAACATGGCCTCGATGTTTTACATCAACAGGCAAGGTGGGGCCCGTTCCTCTGCCCGGAAGCCCTCCAGCTGTGGGACTTCTGTACGGCCCACGACATTTGCCTACAGGCCTACCACCTACCGGGTGCCCGGAACTCACGGGCAGATAGCTTGAGCAGGGACTTCTCCTCTCAGCACAGGTGGTTTCTTCACCCAGAGGTGGTGCACAGACTTTTCCAAGAGTGGGGAACTCCCCAGGTGGACCTGTTCATGACTTGACAGAACCATTGCTGTCCCCGGTTCTGCTCCGGGGGTGGCTGGGATGGGGTGCTATCTCCAATGCCTTCCTCCTGTCCTGGTCAGGCCAATTTCTTCATGATTGCCCTGTCGTGGCCCAGGCAGCATTGGTAAGGGACCCTCACAAGCCTGGCGGCCGCCCCACCATGACCATTACCGTCCTGCCCGAACCTGCTCTCCCAGGACCAGGGCCGCCTCCTCCACCCCAACCTAGCGGCACTGCACCTCGTGGCGTGGCTGCTCAGTGATTAGGCCAGGAGGAAAGGACATACTTGGAAGGGGTCCAGCACATCCTCTTGGAAAGCAGGCGACCCTCCACACGCCGAGCCTACTTGGCAAAATGGTCTCGGTTTTCCCGCTGGGTGGGTGAGCGGGGCGTTCCCCCTGTGGCTGCCCCGATCCACCTCATTTTGGACTACCTCCTTCACCTTAGAGCCCAGGGCCGGTACCCTCGTCCGTCAAGGTGCACTTGGCAGCCATATCAGCCTTCCACCCGGCGGTGCAGGGCCACACAGTGTTCTCCCATGCCATGACTGGCCGATTCCTTAAGGGGTTGGATTGTCTCTTCCTGTACACTAGGCCCCCTGTCCCGCAGTGGGACCTGAACTTGGTGCTGGCCCAGCTGACAGGCCACCCATTTGAGCCACTAGCTACGTGCTCCTGGTTGCACCTCTCGTGGAAAGTAGCCATCCTGGTAGCGATCAGCTCGGTGGGTCTCGGAACTCAGGGCCCGGACCTCCGAGCCCCCGTACACGGTGTTCCATAAGGATATGGTCCAGCTCTGCCCACACCCCTCGTTCCTCCCAAAGGTGGTCTCCTCCTACCACATGGGTCAGGACATTTTCCTGCCGGTCCTCTGCCCCAAGCCCAGTACGTCCAGTGAGGAGCGCTGTCTCCACACGCTAGATGTGAAACAGGCTCTGGCTTTTTACCTGGAGCAGACTAAGCTGTTCAGGAAGACTTCGCAGCTGTTCATCGCCTCGGCCAAGCGCATGAAAGGTCGGCCGATCTCCAATCAGCGGCTCTCCAACTGGATCACCTCGTGCATCCATACCTATTATGAACTGGCGGGAATCCCTCCGCCGCCAATTGTGAGGGCACACTCGACTAGGACACAGGCCTCATTGGCTACCTTTTTAGCCCATGTCCCCATTCAGGACATTTGCAGGGCTGCCACATGGTCTTCAGTTCACACGTTCACCTCGCATTATGCGATCGTCTTCCAGACCAGGGAAGATGCCGGGTTCAGCAGGACCGGACTCCGTCCCGAGAGTTTGTGAACTCCTATCCACCTCCAACAGATATAGCTTGGAATCACCTATTATGGAATACATATGAGCAATCACTCCAAGAAAAAAAGACAGTTACCTTCCACATCCCGCCCTCCTTCCCCTCTGTCGGAGTTGTCTGGCAAGAAGTAACTGAGGGTGGGGGGAGCGCTCAGCTCCCCTTATACCGCAGCATGGAGGTGCCACTCCGGAGGTCGCTAGGGGCGCTCCCCTACGGGTAATGCTAGGGGAAAAACTTCCGGCACCAGTGCACATGGGGAGCACACACACTACTGTGGAATGGACATGAGCAGCACATCTCGAAGAACACCAGTTATGGAAAAGGTAACTGTCTTTTCTCAGTGCTGAACACTGAAAAATCTGGCTCTTAATATGAGCTCTTTCTGCTGTGCCCCCACTGGCATAGACATCTAGTTCTCCTGCTGCTTTCCTCTCTGCTCTCCTTCTTTGGTAGCTGTGCTCAAGAATTCTGGTGCCGTGAATAACAGGGGGAGAGGTAAGGGAGCAGTTATATAGTCTTTCCTACTGAGGAATCTCATTGATCTCTACAGATATCAAGAGAAAGCTAAAAAGCAAAGAGGGAGAGCCGATGGGAGGAGGAAGATGTTTATACTGAAACATCAGTGTTACAGTAACAGACATGTAATAGCCTCCATGGTCTAAAGCCCTTTTGTAAGGGACTGGGCACAAGCAGTCTGGCTGGACTGGGGTCTCACATCAGGAATGGTAGTTGCTGAGCAGGAGTCGGAGGAATCACAAGAGCCAGATTCAGTGACCTAGAGTCGGGATCAGAGGCAGGCTGTGATTGGAGATGGGAGGTCAGGTGACAAGGTGAAGTCTGGAGTCACAGCAGGCCAAAGTTTGTGTGGTTGCCCAGACAACTTCCTGTGACAACCCTGGGGTTTAATAGGGCACTTGGCCAATCAGAGGGCCACAGGGTACTATCACTCTGGCTCCCTTGGGTGCTGCTTCCTGCTGCAGCTACCCTCCACAGTGCTTCCTGGCTGTAGCTTTCCATAGCCTCCTGGTGGCTCTGTGGGGAATGTTAGCCATCCCAGGTTCTGCAGACCCAGGTTCTAGTCCATGGACCCTTACATCTTTGTGATACTTTAGCAACGCAAAATATATGAAGGCTGAAATTGTAACTTACTGTCCATATCCTTCAGAAAAGCAATGGTTTGTTCCTCTGCTTATTTTCAGGCTTACCCAGAATATCTCATTACATACCAGATCATGAAACCAGAAGCTCCCTCACAGACTGCAACAGCAGCAGAGCAGAAGACCTAGTAAATGTCGAGTGGTGAAGCAAAATATGATTTAAATCTTGGACTAGATGACATTTTGTTTCAGAAAATCAATATCCTATAAAATTCATGACAACCTGGAAATAAGCTGTATGTCTTTTATAAAGCATTGCTATATTGACAAGTGTAATATGAGTAACTGATACATACTCAACTCCTACTGTTCCTTTTGAGGAAATGTTTACAAGGGACTGCCTTTTTACAACATATCTCAGGCTCATTCTCACCGCAGTTACCAAGTGTAAAACAACATTGCATTGATCTAGACTTTGGGAACATTATGCTACAAGCAGAAAACATTACCAGTACAACTCCATATGTTAAAATTTCACAGACTACTGTTCTCGTTATTTTTATTTACAGATAAATTGCATTAAACCCAGAATTTCTTTTCAGCACACAAAATTCAACTTATTGTTTAGAGAGATATTAGTCAACTATTTATTTTACTTCTTTTATATTCTGAAATTGAGCCAGAACCTTCTTAAAGATATTTTGCACAAAGTCAAGTTGGCTAAAATCATTAACAATGCAATATGAGTTTCTTATCCAAGAAGGGGCTAAGTCCAGTTCTTCAGCTTAGGGGTTTTTTGCACTTTTATGAGCAAACGTTGCTACAGGCATAACTTTAGGGTGGAAACAAATCAAGTTTCAATTTGCTGCTTTCTCTGTCAGTTTTCATGGGGAAGTATTAGTGAGCTTCGTGAACTTCATAAAGCTGCCTCTTGTGCTAGGTAAAACTTCGTGAAGCAGGTCAGTGCCCTCTGCTGACTAAAAGATAAATATCACTTTATGACTGAAAGGTTAAAAAGACTGCTGAAGTACAATGCAGACTGTGAAATGTTCTCAAGTGACAGTGGCATATGATTCAAAAGAATCCACTTTGTGAGGGGATGAAAATTAGTGGGTAAAAAGCCAGAAGATTGTGTGCAGGAGTATAAAGTGCAGTTCCTTAAAGACACACCCAGAAACTGGCTAATTTAAAGCAACAAAAATGGATTACGTTATGTTGGGTTCAACATCACAATTGAAGCGCATGAGTGATGTACAGAAAAGATACAAACATTTATTTCCACCAGTGTATAATTGGTTTTAAACATCAATTAGTGGGGACTGGGTTTATATGAGAACAAAGCCAAGCTTTGTCCTTTCTAATCATCTTCCTACAATGTTCTGTTTTTATTTTGACTGGGTAGGGGAAGGTTACTTTCAAGCATTGCTTAGCATAATATAAAATGGTTTCAAATGTCCAATACAGAGGGTGTAAATTTAACAAAAACAAAATCTTGACTTCCTTTTGCCACTTTAACTTTAGGAAGATGGTGGAAGTTGAAAAGGAAACCATTTTAAGATTCTTTTCGAATAGGCTGCATCACCGAGAGGCACTGTAGCATTTGTTGTGCAATGACATTGGAAAATGTACGGCTGAGAGAGCTAGACTTTTACGAGTGCATAACAGCCAGTGATGTTAAATTGCTCGTGTTACAATTCTTGCATTAATGCCTTTTACCTCCAGAAAGTATTGAAGTGACAGGTTAGTGTATTGCCTTTCGTTTACAAAATAAAAGAATTGTCTACTTGCACAAATCTGTGAATAAAGCAATCCAAAAAAAATCTGAACAGAGATTTTCAATATAAAAACAGAAGACATTCTGCAGAGAGATTCTTGTGGAGAACAAATGTTACCACTTGTAAAATTGGGAATTTGAGGCAGACTCGCTGAACTGCACACCATCTTTTGCACTATACCTAGAGAAAAGGTTAGAAGCAGCAGTTCCAATAAACATCAAACTTTTCTTTGTTTTGCTTAAGTCTCCTGTGCCAGCACTGGACATATGGTTCTGAGTTTGGTTTTGTGACTCTAACATGCTTCGTCAGTCCAAACCAGAAGTAAGACCCAGCTGTCCCTTTTAATTAAATTTCATTGACTCAAGTTGGGTGTTTGTGTTTTGGCTATTTGTTTAATAGTGTTAGAATTCAAATGATAACAACTAGGCTTTGAAGTTTGTATTCATTTAGAGGGCTTTTTATTTTTACGTTGTTTAGTTAATCAAGGGTTGGGGATGTGCCATCCGCAGTAGTTTCAGATAGCTGTGAAAATGCATATTACCGGCCATCTCTCATTAGACATAGTTTTAAATGGTAACACAATTGTGCATCTTAGTTGAGCGAAACAGTTAACATGGGTGTAGAAGTTCAAAGCTTCACAGCTTTAAAAAAAACCCTATGCCTGATTCTGTTGTTGTTTGTGGTTTCCAATGTACTAATTGAACTAATGGCTGCTCTAGGTTTCATCTGGAGCTCTGAACTTCTAGAAGACAAAAATGTGGTCCAATATCTTTTAACTGCCAGTGTTATGTATCTAATGTTCTGTGCAGAGTAAAGGTGCTGTGTGAGGAAATCATTTGCAGTGGTTTTTGTCTTGTAAATCACTTGATTTTGTAACGGTTCAGGGCCAAAAGTTGAAGAATGCACATGCCTAGTGCACCTGCTTTAAAAGTCATTCACGTATCACAGAAGCCTAATATGGTTCTCGCCAAAAGAATAAGTAGTGGATCCTCAGCTGTTGTACATTTTCAGAGCTCCGCTGACGGCACTTGACACCACCTGAGGATCCATCCCCAAATGTCCAACCCTCTGGGCTTGTCTTCACTACTGGGGTAGGTCGACCTAAGTTATGCTCCTCTAGCTACATGAATAACATAGCTGGAGTCGATGTAGCTTAGGTCGACTTACCCTGGTGCCTTCACTGCGCTGTGTCGATGGGACACGCTCTCTGGTCGACTTCCCTTACTCTTCTCAGAGAGCTGGAGTGCCGGGGTCTACCGGAGCGTGCTCTGCTGTCGATTTAGCGGGTCGATTTAGGGGGTCTAATGAAGACCCCCACTGCATCAGGTGCAGCGACGTTGATCCCCTCATAGTGAAGATCAGCCCTCAGAGTTGCTTTCCTGAGAGTAAAACAGCTTTCTGGTGGAGAGGCCGAACGCTGTGATGGGAAGGGGAAAGCCTTTTACAAAAGGCATTAGCCAAGCAACTCAATTTCATGTCTGTTAATTCTTTAAAACAGCACCCAGTGCCTGAGCCTCGAATGTAGCCCCAGCACCTGTGTCATTTACCTACTCACGTGGCCCGAACGATGAGAATCCTCATTGCTCCAAAAGGAGGGCTGCAAATGTCCTGCTTCGAGCAGGGGGTTGGACTAGATGACCTTCTGGGGTCCCTTCCAACCCTTATATTCTATGATTCTATGTCTCAATGTCAGTATGGTGGTCTCTGAGCAAACCCATTCGCAGCACACCCAGAACACTGCCTGTCTGAACTTTTGACACCCAGCGGAAGCATGTGAGAAATTCAGAGTTCAGGGCACGTAACTGGGTTACCCAGATGAAGAAGAGCCTGAGCCTGGCCACCCCATCAGCTGAGGGTGCACAGCTTCCATTAGTGGCAGTGGGAATGGTGCATGCTCAGCGGGCAGAAGAACCTGGCCCAAGATGTTCAGATTCTAGCAGACCTGTTTCTGGAATGTTCTCCACATTTACAGAGCCCGCTCGCCCGCTGCGTGAGCAAAATGGGAAAGGTCAGGCTTCAGGGCTGTCAACCTGTAGCATTAACCCTTTTGAGGCAACGCATTGTGAAACTTCTGGACCCTTTGTGACATGACCCTCAAAAATAGAACAACCACTTACAGTGAAAGTGCTGATTTTACTCTCCATTACTGTGGTGGTTTCAGTGAGACAGATAAATTAGGTAACTAATGTACAATACCAAAATACAATACTGCAGTCCTGAGTGCTGTAAACAAATTCTATTAGGGTAAAACAAATAAGAGCACAATACCTTTCATTTTGATTTTTTGTGTCTGCTTATCTCTACATCCCAGCTCTATTGAAAACTATTACAAACGCTGCATATAATTTTCACCATTTTGGAACACAGTTGTTTTTGAATCTCAGAAACAAGAATGTCTTTCTAAACTCCTCCGGCCTGTTCACACCTCCTGTGACCAAATCCCCTTCCTACAGAGCAGCACCACCACCGTGTGTGGCAGAAGCTCATTCATTGGTTTACTTATGGACTTGTACTTTTGTTGTTCAGTACTAGTTGGAATAAACCTAAAATTAAAATTCTTTGTTTAAAAAGCATCGTAAAGCTCTGTTTTCTGTCAACACTGGTGAGAGTGGAAGCAAATGCAGAAGAAACACTTGATGTCTGAAGATGAACCACTGCTGGAGAAAAGAATTCCCTCTCAGTCCCAGTGCAAGATCCTAAGAGTCTCTCTGCTGGAGATCGCAGGCAGGGAGAGTGTCTGCTTCCAATGGGAGTGTGAAGCCTTGTTGGATGCCAAAGCTTCATGCAACCATGTGGTCTGACAGATGCTGCAAGGAAGCTGCCCATATAGGACATTGTCCCTGATGCTGCAATTCCATTTTAGAGTCTTGTGCCAACTGCAGACCATTGTAGCTTGCTATAATATTGGCAAAATCCCTTTATTAAACCTACATTCATGGAGAGCAATGTGTACATAATTCCTTATTTTAATCTAGAATTCACATACGATTGCTAACAAAATATCACCCAAGTTTGCCCGTAACCAAATTTACACAAATTATGGAATAAAGGTCAACGAACAAGACACAGTCTAATTATTTGTATGCTCAATGACACTGACCTGGAATTGGGGTTTGGGGGAGAGTGTTTGTGGGGATCTGATCACTTTTTGCAGGAGATTTGTCTGCTTCCTTGCTGCTGTTGTGCACCCAGGTACAAGTGCGCACACAGCTCAAAAATCCAGCACATAAAGTATCTGACTAATGTCTCAAGCCCTTTTTAAAACAATACTTCAATTTTGCTGGGTAAGAAATTAGTTAACAGAGATTCATACACCATATCCTAATCCATGGTTTGTAGAGCGAGTGATTTTTGCAGTGACATAAGAACAAATGTAACCGGTGTTCTTGTTCCTCTTGAGTGTGGCTCTCCTTTGCCTCTCCTTTCTCTTCCTCCTTTTTTCCTCTCCATCTGTCAACATCCAAACAGAGTTAAAATTCAAGAATTCTGCTATTCTTTGTTTCTGGACTTGAGTCCACTAACATAGACAGAACTACGGATGTTGAAGGAGTTCAACAGAAGGCACTCTGATGATATTTTAAAATGGAAAAGCTACAGAACAGTGAGGGAGAGGTACTGTTCCCTACAAATCTGAACATATGGGATATAAGTAAAACCTACCAGCTCTGGGACATATCTGAAAAACTTCTGGAGAAAGATGAATGAGCCTCATGACTCAACAGGGGATGAGGGGAGGCCAATTATGCATTTTACATGACATGAACAAGTATACCTGAGAGTGCTTATTATCTGATTGTTTTGATACATCTGTTTCTGTCTCGCTAAATCTTTGGGTGGCAGTTTTTAGTGTTGGTTCCATTAATTACTGATTTTACTTGATTAGAGTAGTTATGTGATGCATGGTAATTTCAGTTTTTCTTAACATCTGCAGAACTTTCTTCAGCTTTGGAACCTAATAAAGGTGACCATTTTTTTTGCAACAGGCCATTCGGCTTTGTGTATTGATCTCCGATCTCTCATAGAAGGAAATCTTAGAACATTATTGTGCTTTGGATTACCTACCTTTAGTTATAACCAGTTCCTGGTTCTAAGCCAGGAAGGAGACTGTTCAGGTCTGCTTCTGGCTCCACCATGTACTACAGCATCTAGGACTGGGCAGTGTCTTTGGCAGATCCCTATATGGGTACTAAAAATACATTGGGGCACCCATCCTTACCTTAACCAAGCCTGCCTTGGAACCAGTAGAGCACTTGGGTCCAATGGAGCAGTTGGCTCAGCCTTTCACAAGGTCTCAGTAAATACAGCTTTGATTCCTCCCATCTTGGCAGGAACAGCTTCAGCTAAGGGTTAAGCCATCCATCACCTACACTTAGTGGTGTGAGAGGTTTGTTTTCTGGCCACATTGTGACTGTGATTTGTCACCTATCAGACACTGTGGACAGTAAGATAGTGTGGCATTGGCTGAAATGCTCTGGCTATACTAACTCCCTGAGATTCATCCTATTCACCTCTGGGGTCCAGAACTCTTTCCAATTTCCAGAAGTATTCCATCGGTGCACCCCCTTCTGTGCCATGGTCACATAATCAGTAAAACTCAACCTTACCTCTGGGCAGCAAGTGTTCCATTCCATGTCTAGCTGCCGTGACTATTCTTCCTGAATGGTTCAGTATCTGTGTATAGACCAGACCCTCGGTAGAATTTGCAAATTATACAAAATTACTAAAGATAGGTTATACCCAGGAAGACCACGAAGAGCTACAAAAGGATCTCTCAAAACTGGGTGACTGGGTGTAGCCAGACAGCCAGCCCCCCCCCCCCCCCCAGACCAGCATTGCTGGAAACACAGGAGGAAGCCGGAACAGGGCACTTAACATATATTCCAGCACAGCCTTTGAAGCTGTGAAAGCACAGGTGTGCTGCTACAATGTGCCTCTGGGAACAGATACAACGATTAAGCTCACAGCAGGCAGAGGCCCTGTGACAGACATGGCTCTTAGCCCCTACTAAATAGCGTGATGCACACACACCAACATCCTAGGTGGGAAAATATTTACCCTGATAAAAGAAATGTCCAGTAGTCGAAAACTTACTGTTTCTCTCCCTTGCAAGTGTAAACTACTCTTGCGAAAGCTGGCGTCACCCAGACAGACCAGCCTCAATTTGGCATAAGAAAGGAGAAAGAGAATAAAGGAGTACAGAGGTATAAGTAGGGGACCTACAGCACCATGATTTTTGAGTGCTTTTCACTATCTATCTGCTGGTCAGATAAGTGACAGCCTCCCAAGGCTTCTGCAGCTAAGAGGGTCCCTAAGCCTTGTCCCTTATTCGTCTTTCCGCGGAATTGAGTGACCGATCCTGGCTTGGCACCGCTGGAATCGAGAGATGCAAGGAGGGTAAGAAGCACCCACACCTGATCTCCTATCTTTAGTGTACACATATTTTGAAATAGAGCTCTATACTTTGTTTTCTTTCTTTGGGGTTGTGGCTTCAGTTTTGTAACTTGTTTGTGTGTGTAACATCTCTACATTTAAATAAGTAGGCACTAGCAATTTTGTAACCACATGATTAGAATCTAGCTTAATAAATTTTGGTAACCATTTGTGCATAAGCCTGACTTGTTTTCTCTGGTTTACTGTAAAGCAGCCATCACAATTAAAGAACCTCAGCCGTTTTGGCTCTAAAGCCTGGCCATTAGGTGAGAGTACTAAGAGCCTAGCGTTGAGTTGTGCCGCCTCCACGGGGCAAACTCTTGGGGCACCTGTCAGTCAATCCTGGCTGCCCGCTGCGAAGGAGCTCTGAGCTCTAGCAGTTAAAGTCACGGGTGTGGAGAGGCTCTTAGTGCTGCCATTGGGGCACCTGTCAGTCAGTATTGACTGCCCGCTGCGAAGGAGCTCTGAGCTCCAGCAGTTAAAGTCACGGGTGGTTAGGACCTTGGGGCATCCGTCAGCCTAGCCCGGGCTGCCCGCCGCGAAGGGACAGTGCGTCCTAGCGGTTAAAGTCACGGATGGTATAAACGGGCATAGCTGGCACCTCACCAAACATCCTTGGCCGTCGGCTAACACTGGGCAACAAAATGGCAGATGAAATTTAATGTTGATAAATGCAACGTAATGCACGTTGGAAAACATAATCTTAACTATACATATAAAAGGATGGGGTTTAAATTAGTTGTTACCACTCAAGAAAGAGATCTTGGAGTCATTGTGGATAGTTCTCTGAAAACATCCACTCAGTGTGCAGCGGGAGTCAGAAAAGAGAACAGAATGCAAGGAATAATTAAGAAAGGGATAGATAATAGGACAGAAAATATCATGTTGCATCTATATAAATCCATGGTACGCCCACATCTTGAATACTGCGTGCAGATGTTGTCACCCCATCTCAAAAAAGAAATAGTGGAATTGGAAAAGATTCAGAAAAGGGCAACAAAAATTATTAGGGGTATGGAACAGCTTCCATATGAGGAGAGATTAATAAGACTCGGACTTTTCAGCTTGGAAAAGATACAGCTAAGGGGAGATATGATTGAGGGCTATAAAATCATGACTGGTGTAGAGAAAGTAGATAAGGAAGTGCTGTTTACTACTTGTCATAACACAAGAACTAGGGGTCACCAAATGAAATTAATAGGCAGCAGGTTTAAACCAAATAAAAGGAAGTATTTTTTCACACAATGCACAATCAATCTGTGGAACTCCTTGCCAGAGGATGTTGTGAAGGCCAAGACCCATAACAGGGTTCAAAAAAGATAAATTCATGGAGGATAGGTCCAACAATGGCTCTTAGCCAGGATGGACAGGAATAGTGTCCCTAGCCTCTGTTTGCCAGAAGCTGGGAATGAGCAACGGGATAGATCACTTGGTGTTTACCTGTTCTGTTCATTCCTTCTGGGGCACCTGGCATTGGCCACTGTCAGAATACAGGATACTGGGCTCGATGGACCTTTGGTCTGACCCAGTAGGGCCATTCTTATGTTCTTATGCTAACTTTTGGGGCACAGTGATTTTCCTAGTGGTCAAGGCAGTCAACCATATGGAGCGTCTGGGCTAACCCACTCCTTCCCCTAAGAATAAGGACTCGAGGAGACTAGCCTTGTTCGGTAGAAAAATTTATTCGTCCTCAAGTTTCCAGCTGAGGGTGGCAAACCACCAAGCCCTGGTGGGCAGATATGACTTCAATTTGTGGGGCTCAATGCCAACGTTTGCGGACTCCCTCCAGGAGCGTGATAGGAAGGAGTTTAAGGCCCTGGCAGAGGAGGGCACAGCTGCCACCAGAGTAGCCCTTCAGGCAGCCTCCGATGCCACGGGTACAGGCTGCAAGAACTATGGCCTCTGCAGTGTCCATGAGAAGGGCATCGTGGCTCCTGTTATCTGGGTTGTCCAGCGAGGCACAGAGCTCCCTGCAGGACCTCCCATTCGACACCAAGGCCCTGTTCACGGAACAAACAGACGTGAAGTTACACAGTCTCAGGGATTCCCACACGACATTAAAAGACTCTTGGTCTCTATGTCCCCGCCCCGGCCAGGACCAAGTTCAAGCTGCAGCAGGCCCCAAGTCAGGCCACCGACTCCAGATACGAGCCCCCTTACAAAAAATCAGGGGACTATAAGAAGCTCCCACAGTGGCAGTCTCGGCCTGGGCCCTCCAAGGACAAGCAGGTGGGTAAGTGTCAGTTTTGATGGGACGCCCAGGGACGACTTACCAATTTGTACCAGGGATCCACCCGACCTACCTTTCTCCAACCGTCTATGTACTTTCCTCCCAGATTTCAGAGTGGTAGCCGTGTTAGTCCGTATCAGCAAAACGAATGAGGAGGACTTGTGGCACCTTGGAGACTAGCAAATTTATTTGATCATAAGTTTTCATGGGCTAAAACCCACTTCATCGGATGCCTGCAGTGGAAAATACAGTAGGAAGATGTGTATATATACACAGAGAACATGAACAAATGCATGTTGCCATACCCACTATAACGAGCGTGATCAATTAAGGTGGGCTATTCTCAGCAGGAGAAAAAAAAACCTTTTGTAGTGATAATCAGGATGGCCCATTTCCAACAGTTGACAAGAAGGTGTGAGTAACAGTAGGGGGAAAAATAAACATGGGGAAATAGTTTTACTGTGTGTAATGACCCATCCACTCACAGTCTTTATTCAAGCCTAATTTAATGGTGTCCAGTTTGCAAATTAATTCCAATTCAGCAGTCTCTCGTTGGAATCTGTTTTTGAAGGTTTTTTTGTTGTAATATTGCAATTTTTAGGTCTGTAATCGAGTGACCAGGGAGGTTGAAGTGTTGTCTGACTGGTTTTTGAATGTTATAATTCTTGACATCTGATTTGTGTCCATTTATTCTTTGGACACAAATAAATGGATACATCAGATCTCTCAATTACAGACCTAAAAGTCGCAATATTACAACAACAAAAAAACTTCAAAAACAGACTCCAACGAAAGACTGCTGAATTGGAATTAATTTGCAAACTGGATACAATTAAATTAGGCTTGAATAAAGACTGGGAGTGGATGGGTCATTACACACAGTAAAACTGTTTCCCCTTGTTTATTTCCCCCTACACACACTGTTATTTTCACCTTGTCAACTGCTGGAAATGGGCCATCCTGATTCTCACTACAAAGTTTTTTTTTTCTCCTGCTGATAATTGCCTACCTTAGAATCATAGAATATCGGGATTGGAAGGGACCGCAGGAGGTCATCTCGTCCAACCCCCTGCTCAAAGCAGGACCAATCGCCAATTTTTGCACCAGATCCCAAAATTATTTCATTAGTCTTGTTACAGTTGGTTTGACAACACCCATTGTTTCATGTTCTCTGTGTGTGTATATATATATATATCTTCCTACTGTATTTTCCAGTGGATGCATCTGATGAAGTGGGTTTTAGCCCACAAAAGCTTATGCTCAAATAAATTTGTTAGCCTCTAAGGTGCCGCAAGTACTCCTCGTTCTTTTTCCTCCCAGTGTGGTTGCTGCTGACCTTGGACTGATGGGTCCTCAACACCATCTCCCAGGGCTCTACCCTCCAGTTTCTCTCTACCCTACCTGCCCTTCCTACCTGTCCCTCTTCAGGGACCCCTCTCACAAGAACTTGCTCGAGCAAGAGGTGAGGCGGTTCCTTCACTTAGGGGCAGTGGAGGTGGTACCGGCGGAGTTCAGATACAAAGGGTTCTACTCCCACTATTTCCTTATCCCGAAGGCCAAGCGGGGCTCAGGCCCACCCTGGACCTGTGAGGCCTGAACCAGTACATGGTAAAGCTCAAGTTTCACATGGTCTCTCTGGCCTCCATCATCCCCACCCTGGATCCCGGAGACTGGTATGCCGCCCTCGATCTCCAGGATGCGTACTTCCACATTCACATATTCGAGGGCCACAGGCGTTTACTCCGCTTCATGGTAGGACAGGAACACTACCAGTTCACCGTCCTCCTGTTTGGCCTCTCAACGGCTCCCAAGGTCTTCACAAAGCGTATGTCTATGGTAGCGGCCTATCTCAGGCGTCGTGGGGTCCAGATTTTTCCCTACCTCGACGACTGGCTGGTCAAAGGCAGTTCCAGATCACAGGTACAGGACCACGTAGCGCTCCTCCTGTCCACATGCACCACACTGGGGCTGCTGGTAAACAGCACCAACCCCCCATTGCAGCGAATAGCATTCATTGGTGCGATTCTCAACGCAACATCGGCCAGAGCCTCCCTCCCACTGGACAGGTTCGACACCTTGAGGGAGCTCATCGGTGTGGTCACAAGGTTTCCCGTGATGACCACCAGGGCATGCCTCCAACTCCTGGGCCATATGTCGGTGTGCACGTATGTCACGCCAGACTCAGGGTGCGGCCTCGACCACTGCCAACCCACCCGGACCTTGTCTATCAGGACCAAAGTTGCTGCCTCCACCCCAACCTAGCAGCCCTCCACCGCATGGCATGGTTGCTCAATGGTTAGGCCAGGAGGAGAAGACCTGCTTGGAGAGAGTCCAGTGTGTCCTCCTGGAGAGCAGGAGGCTCTCCACATGCCAGGCCTAACTGGCAAAATGGTCTCGGTTTTCCCAGTGGCTGCCCCGATCCATCTTATTCTGGATTACCTCCTTCATCTCAGAGCCCAGGGCCTAGCGCCATCAGAGTGCATCTGGCAGCTATATCAGCCTTCCACCCGCCAGTACAGGGCCACACAATATTCTCTCATGCCATGACCAGTTGAGTCCTTAAGGGCTTGGACCACCTCTTTCCTTATGTTAGACCCCTGGTCACTCAGTGGGACCTGAACTTGGTTCTGGCCTGGCTAACAGGACCTCCATTTGAGCCCCTTGCTACATGATCCCGGTCCCACCTCTTCGGGAAAGTAGCCTTTCTTGTGGCAGGTTTCAGAGGAACAGCCATGTTAGTCTGTATTCGCAAAAAGAAAAGGAGTACTTCTGGCACCTTAGAGACTAACCAATTTATTTGAGCATGAGCTTTCGTGAGCTACAGCTCACTTCATCAGATGTTTACCGTGGAAACTGCAGCAGACTTTATATACACACAGAAATCATGAAACAATACCTCCTCCCACCCCACTGTCCTGCTGGTAATAGCTTATCTAAA